CAGATCTAGGTCTAAATACCGACCTTCTTTATTCAGATGATATCTCTAAGCTTATTAGCAGCCAAACTCTATTAACATCTACGTCTCAAATTTCATCTCCGATTACACCCCTCTCGCTTACGCGTGTTAGCCTCCCTCTTTAGTAGTATTAGGTCCTCTATTCCTCTAAGCCTAGTAGCGAGATAGAAGAATCTCGTAAGCGCTTTATAAGTTAGTGGTTAACTACAGAGTCTGGATTAACACCTAATATACAAGACTCTATCCGTTAGGATAGGAAAAAGACTTCAAGTGTCTAGGACAATTTCAATCAGGTTGCATATAAGAAGACTAGCAAGCTAAAGGTTATATGTATATTATGCCTCTATACCCTTGTTCATCCAAGATATCGCCGTGCTAGGTCATCACCGATGAATGCATATATTAAGGTAGGCACCTATACTCGGAAGCCAGTTACTTAGAGGGTTAATCAGCTACTAAGAAAGATGGTATATTACTCTATTATTAAGATTTTTAATATCTCTTTTACTAATCTTGATAATTATCCTAAAGCCATCGATCCCAAAACACTAACCTTTCTCCTAGGAGCGTCTCGTTAAAGCGATCCTAGACTTTATCTCAACGGCTTACCTACCCTTCCGAATCGTGGAGTATACCCAATTCAAGGACCTAGTAGAGGTCATTCAACAAGCTCAAAGCAAGATCGATATACTATCCGCGCGAAGCATACGACGTTATCTTGATTCTACAGTCAAAAATGACCAGAAGGAGATTCTTAGAAGACTTCTAGATAGGAGTCGCCTTTCACTAGCGCTTGATTACTAGACATCGCCATTTTAGCAAGCTTTTATGGCTATCACAGGCTACTTTCTTAATCAGGATTAGAATTATTATAAAGTTCTTCTTGGATTTAAGCATCTTTATAGGTCTCATACTAGTAAAAATCTAAGTAAGACCGTTACTCAGCTCTTAAACAATTATAGAATCACTAATCGTGTCTTATCTGTGACAACAGATAACGTAACTAATAACAATACCTTAGTGATGAACATCCAAGAGACTATTCAGTCGCAGAGCCAACTAGATACCTTAATCTTCCGAGTTCCGTGTATTACGCATATGATCCAATTAAGCTTAAATAAGCTTCTTAGGAAGCTAAAAATAACGCCACCTAATAAAGAGATTGAACTAGAGTGGCCTAACGAGCGAACACATTCATTCCAGACTAAACAATCTAGCTTAAGTCGGCAAATTACAGATACCTTAAAGAAGGTCAGTCCTCTATCTCCCTTAGGCTTCTAAGTTTATTCTAATAAGAAAGTCTAAGATCCGAGGTCTTACGGTCTTTATTAATACGAGCCTATAACGCCGGGAGTCATTTATGGCTCTTTAAACTAATAAGCCTCGTTTAGTTCCTATTCAGGATGTCCAAACCCGATAGAACTCAACCTTTATAATGCTTAATCGTGCTAAAAGGTTACAACCATTCTATGACCAGTATTATATAGATTATCAGTATCTACACTTTAAACTTGATTAAGAAGAGTGGCGACAGATTAAATATCTTCTTCTTCTCACAAAGCCTTTCTTTAACTTCACCACTATATTATCAAAGACTAGGGATGTTACCACACACAACATCTATAGTATTTATAATAAGCTTTTCTCTCATCTAGATAAAGCTAAGTGTAAGTTAAAGAATAAAGGTGTTATCTAAAAGAAGCATATGCTCCAGGCTCTTTAGACTGCTAAGCGGAAGCTCTTAAAGTACTACACTGCGACTGATTATAAATCATATGGCGATATCTATGCACTCGCGACAATCCTTTGCCCATCAAAGAAACTTCGATATTTCGTATCGTCAGACTGGCAAGGTGATATTAACTATATTAATCACTATTATAAAGTTCTCAAGCGAGAGTTTCAACGATATAAAGAGATACTTCACCGTGATTCAGATAATACAGTCTTACAAGATACCACGAGAGAGGCCCCGGATAATGAATATAGTGATCTAGATACTGCTTATACATCTCAAAACCAGCCCTAGGATAAGCTCTTAAAGCCTAAAGATGATAAGATCGCGAGGTATCTTACCCGCGGGATTAAGATTCAGAAGCCAAGAGCATTCTAGAAAGACTATAAGCTTAAGTTTCCTATCCTTACGAGGATAGCACGGGATATTCTCTCGATCCTAGCTAGTGGTGCAGGCGTTAAGCGATTATTCAATTGCGCTCGCGATATCTGCCACTATCGTCGCGGTCAATTGAAACCAAGTACCATCCGAGGATTAATACTCCATCAATTCGCCACTAATTTTGACGTTGAGCAGAAGGAGATAGAGGTTATTAAGGAGTATCTCTCTATTAGGGAAGCTGCGTTATTAGACCAAGCTCGGAAACCAATGCTCTATCTTGAAACTCTTAAGCCAATTAGTGACAACGAAGAGGAGGATCAAGAGCCTAGCATACAGGACACACAACAGAAGAGGAGCTGCAATAATGATTCAGATGATAAGAGGAATAATGATCAAAGTAAGCAAGTGCAGCGTAAGCGATCAAAGAAACGATTATCTGAATCTCTTAATGAAGATGACGATGACCTTCCAGAAATGCCAATAGATAAGAGTATGCTAGGACGGTCAGGACGAATTCGAAAGCAGCCTAGGTTACCTGATGGATTTCAGATTGATTTAAGGTAGTTGATATTATATGGAGATAACGGAATTTTATTTACTAAATTAAAATCTTGAAAGTTAATGATTACACTATGATTACATTAAAAATACGTAGGAAACTGCATAAATTATACATACTTAAAAGAGTCGTGAGGCTAGGCATGTTTGGCCTGTTTGATATCCACTAGATATCCTCAAATATCCAGAGGATATTAGGTGGTATACCATATCCACAAAATTAAGGATTGCGGATATTGGGTGATATACTATATCCGCAATCTGCGGAGAGGATATGTGGATATCCATGGATATTGAGGATGTTGCCGCAGTCTAATGACCAGGTATACTTTTATATCGCAGAGCTTGACAAGCTTATGAGCTTTGGCTTTCAATGTCTTGGATCGCCTCTTAAATTGGTTTCGGGAGTTCCTATTAGGATCGGGCCCACCTATAGCTTCGAATACTAATATAGAATATAAGAAAGAGGCAACAAAACTCTATAAGTTAGCGACATAATAGAGCATTCACACGGATGGAAATGATTTCATATATATATCCTAAATTTCTCTCCCATTCCTTTACACGCGTTATAAATACATTCCAGGTTTAATACCGGTTTATATAAGTGGGCGTTTTCTAGGATAAATTTCCCCGGAGCCTCCCGATTCGCGCTTACGTCTCCGACCCCTGGCAGAGGTTCGGATTATATCATAGCTCTGGTAAGGTTCTCGGCAAGGAGACCTATGGTTATCATGACCAAACGAAGACAGTAGGCCTTAGCTTAAAACAAAAGATGCCACACTCTCAGGGAAACCCCTAATCCTCTAGCGCTTTTTAGACTTGGTTTGTATATATATATTCACCGTGTAGTCCAGATGGCGGGTTAAGAAAGAAATAGAGTGGTTATAGCATCCACATAAGGGGCAGAGACTGTCTAGACCCCCGAAATCGTCGATCAATCCACAATCTAAGACATAGCTAAGCCTATCGGGGTAAAGATTTTCTAGGGCCAAAATTACCTTTCGAGCCGGTCCTTTACAGCGCACTGACCCGCGACACCAAAATAGAGTTATAGTATTTTCTAGCAATAAACCGATAATAAAAAATAATCTAGAGACGAGTAGTGTAGTTGCCGCATCCTAGGCCATTCGCGCACTCCCGACTTAGAGGAGAACGAGATTGCGATAGTCCTCTATGGTCTCGACAGCGTTAATAGTGTGGGGTGTGTTTCCTAGAGGCACGTCTAGGCGGTGACTATCATTTTTGACCGAATCACTAAGACGACCCCGCCACTTTCTCTAATCGTTATCTGACTCCATAGTAGACATCCACGTATCAAAACCCCGGCGTATAAAACTGTCGCGAAAAATGTGGCGGAAATACGGGGTCTAATTACTCGACTGCGCTTTTCTAGTACCTAGAGACAGCATTCTTATAGACCCGATAGCTATAGGCCAGATTTGGTGTGAGACCTAATGCGCAATTTCCCCTATAAAGTTATACTTTAGTCCACCGTCTTAAAAGGAACCGATTCCCTGTAGATCCGCTGGCGTAAAAAAGCTTGCGATCTAATGGTTAGCTCCACTCGGGCAAAAGACCGTATAGGATCGACCTACAACGGGGCGGCGGCAGTAGCTCTTGCTCTAAAGTTTAGTTAGCGCTAACCGTGGAAGGCGGGGTGCATGTCGGGATCAAGCCTACATTCGCCACATAGTTGGTTCATTTCGTGTATCATCTAGCCGTATTATTCGGAAGTCTAGTGGCATTAGTAGGATACGTGGCGACAATCAACATTGAACTTGCCGTTTCCATCCCTTGACTTATGGGACTCATGGGACTCATAGGACACGTTAAAGTTCCCTATCACAAAAGTACTTGTGTCCCTGGAAATGCTCGTGGTTACCACCCCAACCTTCGGGCCGGAGCGTCGTGGTCTAAGAGGATCGTCTCGGGCGGCGCTAAAAATTCGACGATGCTCACTAAAAGCACTTTTCAGGGCGGCATCGAAGACACGTGAATCGTAGTAGCTGTTATATAGAAGCCACTAGACCCATTTAGCCATGTCCCCAAATATAGATATAAAGCCGAAGACTTGGCGAAGCAGCAGAGGCAAAACAGAAGGGCGTCTTTTACGGAAAATATAACGTGCTAAGGTATTAAATCGCTCCGAGCAATCTGTGACATTCCATTTCATTGCGAATAACCCTAGCGCGATAAGCCCACCTAAAATATCTTTTATTAGGTTTCCTAATTAGACAACACCATAATTGCATCATGAGGCGGCTAACTGACCGGAACTTGTCCCGAGTGCGAGATCTACCACGTCTTATATCGCGTACGGGCGCAGATGTTCCTGCACCAGAAGCAGGAACTCCAACGGAATTACCCCTCTAACCCCACCGCCGTCGATAGTAAGAATTGTAGGGCTTATAGTCGGCGGAAGAACATCTACCACTAACGGCCTCTAGTAGAGGCAACAGAGACAACCCTTAATAGTGAACTGATACTCTAATCCTAAGGTAGGCCTGCCGAAAATCTAGGCACATCGGTCGCACACTGTATGTCCACATGCCAGAACATGTTGCGCAGAACGCAGAAGACAAAATAGACAGATACGACTACTTCGCATACGAGATAACTGACCACTAGAGCACTTAAGTTGTTCTCTACGTAAATTCGCCGAGGAGACTACGTTCTCCGAGAATCGCTCGTATAAGCGCATAAAATTAGATTCAACAAGATCAGTTTCTTTCCCGGGACATATCTCGGGCCATAGTGCCTTGGAAATACGATACGCCGTAATAACAACGGACCGGTACAACGTTCTAAATACCATGCCGGGGTTTATAGCTATCTCATATCAGCTTCAGCCTATAAAACGTTAACACGGGACTGACCAAGCATCTTAGGTATATAATAATCTATAAAAAGCGCTGACGCAATTGTTAGGGCCAATCCCGAGAGGGGGAGATTAGCGCGGTGGCCGATTTCAAGGTAATGCGCCAAATACGATTCTGCGCACCAACTGACTAGGCGATCCCTCCTCGTTGCTTTCACAAAATCGAAAGGATAAGAAATATCCTTCAAGGTGTGTTGGATGGCTAATTAAAATAATGCCTTCAAATGCGTTGCGTTCGGCCGGGCTTGTCGGATAGAAGAGACGGCATCGACTTGTTCTATGATCAACGCTTTGATGCGTTGGAATTTTGTGATATCGGAGAACTTATGGTCCTATAGGTATAAAGATATAGAGCTAGAGAACACCCTAGATAGATCGTTATATCCGCTCTCTTAGATTCCACTGTTAAGTAATCCTAAATCAGACATATCCCTCTCGCCTTTTCTCACCGATGGGCCATAAATAAATATCACCCTTGGTAAATATCGCGAAGAAAAGGAGGACGCAGACCGAAGCTGCAAACAGCTAACTAGAAAGTGCACGACCTCTTCAATATAGGTAGCGTCGTCAATAAAGATGCAAACTACATCTATAAAGACAAATATCAATCGCGACCACAGTACTAGTAGTATTTTGGCCGCTGAATAGTTGTTCCACAAAAGTGGATGGCTAACGCCGGCCTCAAATCTCTTCGCAGTGTAAAACTTGTCGGTGTGCGGAATTTCACCATCAGCTAATAGCACTAGCCGGCGGCTTTCTAAGGAAGCGACATCGTATCGCAATTTTATTGGCGCCTCAGATTCATGCCTTCTTATATTGTTCAGAGGGTAGAGCTGCTGAAGAGCGTGACTCTTGGCTTTCCCGCCGAGGAATACACATAATGATGGATATTGGTTGTCTTGATCGCGCAACTCGGAAACCACACGTTACAGCCGGCCGTGGTCCTGGATTGCAAACGTAGAATCTTCACGGGTGCCAACATCAAGCTAGCTAATGTCTATAGAATTCTGTATGATGAAATAAAACTTAGAAACATGCTTCTCTTGTGCCTTACGGTGCGAATTATTTGAATGCTAACAGTAGTCCTTCATTTGGCAAACGTGTTTCAAAACTAGGGTGATATTAATTAATCAAAGAAAAGCATTCTCACCTCGTTCTCACCCCTTTCTCACCCTAGCCCACTTTAACTAGTATGGATTCCAGACTATACTGTACTTTTGTCAAGAGCCGCTCTGGCCTCCATCAAATCCAAGAGGCAAAAGTTAAACAGGGGTAACAGCGCCGGGGTATGCCATGTCTTAGTCTTTATTAGCCAAGCGATTAAGAACAAAGCAAGAAATATAAGTCGGTATCCGGCATCTAAAACTAATTTACATCCTTCTATTTTGCCTCAAACATGTCTTATAAGGGGTCTATGGCACTCAATGTCCCTGCCAATCTGTGGGAGGCCCCTGATTCCTCTCTATGTTTTGACACTAACGAGACCACATTCTATACACAAGAAAACATTAACTCATATAATAATCTGGATGCTTTCGTTCAATAGCACAATTTGGCCATAGGAAATGAATGTTTTGAGTCTGAAGGGTGCCCCGAACCCACTAGGGCCCCTCTAATGATAGGGCCGTACGGTGATAGATGCGACTATCGATCAAATGGGATTAGGTATCTATTTTCTCCACGTTAATTCCTAGCTAGAGCTAAGAATCTTATAGCCAAACCGAATTGCTTTTGTCGGCCCCAATTAGCACGCACGTCTCCGAGGAGACTGACACTACCTTGCATACGGATACAGAGCTATCTCTCACCTTAAAGCAATTTATGAGTATGATAGGCCAGTTTAGTGTCCTTTCTCAAACGCTAGGCACTAAAATCGAAGGCCTAAATAGCCGCTTCGATGATATGGAGCACCGTTTGGAAAGTATAGAGCACCGTTTGGACAGTATGGTGCACCGAATAGAAAGTCTGGAGGACAGTATGGCTAGATTGCATCAAGAAACGGAATGCTTGGAGGCCAGATTCAAAACTATCAATGAATATCTTCTAGAGGTCATAAGGAGGGAGCAGACGGTAATGCAGGAACTTGGTGAACTGGCAAGTCGCTACCATGAGCAAGATATATAACTAGCATTTGATCACTAGCACATTTCAATTTCGACAATATGCACTGTTATTTTCTAAAAGAGACGAAAAGAAGCCAAACTATACTAAGATTACAACCGGTAGATCTCATAGCTCAGAATTCCTTCACGTCCAATGGTTGTCCTTACACATTTCAAAATCTATAAAAAACCCCTAGCTCCGCCGCTAGATTCGGATCCCTAAAGCCTTAGATACTGCTGCTCCGACTCATGTAGGCGCGCTGTTGCCCGTGCGAGAGAATCTTCTAGGGAGGTGAAGATATCAAACACGCTTTCTTGGAATTAGAGGAGTATCTGTTAGGTCTCTTTATGCCACTGAAGCTCGGCTCTAAGATAGCTCATCTGATACGCAGTTTCTTCGAGCTGGGACTTCAAATCTAGAGATTGTCGCTTTGAATGCTGTAACCGGGACTGTAGTCTCTCTAGGTTAGATGATATACCTCCTAGGTATAAGATTTGATGGTCCGTAGGAGTAATTTCCTCGGATATAGGTTCAAGCCGTTGACCAACATATCGACTCATTGTAATTTGTAGAATATGTAGTCAAAACTAAAGACGAGAGGCTTCGACCTTAGCTTGGTATGGAAACAACTTGTAGAGAAAAAAGGAGGTTTATAGCGCCCTTTTCTAGAAGTATACAGATCTTATCCGCGATGCGCTCTATCACCCCATAACATAAGTAGAGGTGAGACTGATCGGGACGATATAAAGCCACTTACGACACAAAACATGAGACTTGTGTATTTTCTAGAGTATAGACATTAATACTCGAGCATGTCATCTAATGAGATGGGAGTGTTGGATGAAGGATCTATAGGTGATACCGAAAAAGAAGGACTACCCGACGATTTCTGTGATAAGGATAGGCGGCTATAACTCTAACCGTTTTGTAGGCAGCATATCGTTCGTTGTCGTATCGATACGTGTAGCTATCTCGGACCAACTCTGGCCCGTGGCGCACCGCGGCTAAAGAATGTCTCCGTAACTCGGCGTGAATCTTTCCGCGACACCGACATTGACTCGCGACACTAAAAACAACTTATGACACCAGCCAAATCCTGCGACACTGAATCCAGTCCTAAGTTAGTGGGTTCTGGCAGCCCACGGTTACCTTTATTGTATCACCTCCTAAAGAGTTTAGCAACCGATAAAAGAGGCGACTTTTTAGGTCTTCTTAGGCTAAACTAATTATTCAAAAAAATGTCTTCCGGAACCCAATATCAAAATCTAGAGGTAGCGCCGTCACCTGCTACTATTCGTCGAGTAAAGCCTACATTCAATCCATAATACGTAATATATATGCTGATTCATTAATTAAGACTACATCGACACCGCAACATATAACCACGACGTCTTCCTCTTGGTAGAGAAGCTTTTGCGACAAGAACAACAGTCTAAGCTTTACCAAGAACGCTTAGAACTCAGAATCAATAGCGATTCTGTGGCGTATCAAAAATTACACCTCTATTGTAAAAGGTCGATTTCTGGGATACAGCATCAAAAATCGCAGCTTGAGGTTTCATTACGCCATGCGACGGAAACTTGTCAAGCATTATCCTAGAGTCTCCACTTGGAAAGGGACAAAGTGCGGGAGCTTAAGTCTCGTCTCAATAAGGTATACCCAAATATTGAATCATGGTTACATCGATTGAATTAAGAAAAGCAAAATTCCGGATCTGCCGATAATAAGGAAACAATAGATCGTCTTTTGCTAGAAAATCACCGTCAGCGAGAGTCGATCAATTGTCTTCAGTCTATCCTCCATACGCGGGAACAGACTGTGCAAAATCTTCAGTCTACTTTAGACCAGTTGTCTCAACGACTCCCCAAAGAAAATGGGGGGTTATTTAGGTCCTCTGTTCGCTCGTCAGAAGAACCGAATATCAAAATCATCACGAATACACCTTCGACCAAGAGCTGAGATATTAGATAGGATATTTTGCGTGCTACGCGAGGTTCTTCAATCTTATTTCCTCCAAGTTCACATAATAATGTTATTTTTTCCGTTCTAGTAGTCTATATAGGATGGTTGGAAAAAATAATGGACGGGCGTGTCAACCCAAACGAGTCTGCATCTGTGGAAATTAGCGTAGCGTTAAGGAAGCGCTAATGTACGAGATCTTGAATCAAGTAATAGTAGACATTCCTTGTTCCCCAAAACTCAAATTTGAGCCATAACCGGGTCGTCGAACTGCGGCCACCGCCTTCGCGGTGTCCGGGTTCCCGGGTCTAATTGCATCCCGGGTCTAATTGCATTTTTTCCCAACCACCTATTTTTAAAAATTCACTACACCCTCAATTCTTCATATTATGTCTCCAGATTTGGAAGATCGCATTACCAATGCCTTAGCAGCTTGCCATGCTAAAAATAAGCCAAATGTCAAGGCCATCGCCGAGGAATTCGGCATTAGCTACGGCATGTTAAGAGGACGGCTTAAAGGTCGCAAGTCTCGAAACGACCGTACCTCACCCAACAAAGCATTGGAAGCCGATCAAGAAAAGGCATTGATTCTATGGATTGATACCTTAGATCAGGCTTATTCTCCACCATCTGCTGCCCAAATTCAATGTGCTGCGCTACAAATCATCCGGCGCTATGACCCCTCTCGGACACTCGGTAAAAACTGGGCTTACGACTTTATCGCTCGTCTACCACCACGCTTTGAACATCTTAATCAAAAACCAATTGAGAAAGCAAGATTCGAAGCCGCAGATGCTGGTTATGTTATCTCTTGGTACGATCGCCTACAAATTACGATCAAAAACTACAATATTAAACCGAGAAATCTATACAATTTCGACGAAACCGGGTTTCGAATTGGCGAAGGAAAGGCTCAAAAGGTCGTTTCAGCCCGGGGAAATTCACATAATAATACCGGAGGTCAAGCTGAATCGCTTACCGGGATTGAATGTGTATCAGCTACTGGTTGGGTTATGCCACCGTGGTTTTTGGTAAAGGGACAATTCCATATGGAGAGCTGGTTTATCGACACTGATTTACCGGATAACTATACAATCTGTCCAACCCCGAACGGCTGGACTGACGAAATTATTAGTTTTGCTTGGCTTCAGGTATTCGATGAATTCACATCATTACGGATTCAAAAGGGGGAATATCGTCTTCTTTTAATGGATAATCATAGTTCTCATCTGACTTATGATTTCATTGAATTTTGTTGGACAAAACGCATTATTCCTTACTGCTTTATCCCACATACAACACATGGTTGCCAGCCTCTCGATGATACGCCTTTCTCGGTTTTAAAACATTACTATCGCCAGTATAACAACGAGACTGCGTTTTGGGGTGGTGATGCGAAATCTAAGGCCAATTTCTTCGCGGGTATTCATCAAGTGCGGACAACATCATTAACCGAGCGTACAATTCGACATGGGTTCCGAGAAACTGGGATTTGGCCAGTTAATTCAGACAAAGGCCTTGAAAAATTAAAATTGGTGGACAACGATCTCCCCGAAATGCCAGGGTTTATAGTTCATGATATTATATCTGGAACTACACCACCCCCACCATCAAGTTCACTACCAAATTCACCACCTACGACCGTTCAAAAACTCCGAAAAGCGAGTAACAAGGTTGCGAAGCATATAAGAAACGATACTACAATTTCTCCGAAGATCCGGGATAGCCTTACTCGGATTTTAGCCGGTGGACTCGCTCTTACTAAGGTTGGTGCTCAATTCGCGGAGGACAATGTGCGCATTTTACGACGGAAAAAGCAGTCCAACACTGCTAAAACAAAGCGTAGGCTGCCTGAACTAGGCCCTCGTTTAGTAAAGGACTGTAAAAAACACATCTCCGACCGTGCCGACCGAGAAAGACTACAGATGTTCAACAGATCTAAGAAAGCCTGGCGGGAAGCAGCTATTTTAAAAGCGATTGACGACGGCGACATTGAAAACCCGGGTGATATTGAGGATGATGATAGTGCAGAAATGGCCCGGGAATGGATAGATGATCTTTATTGTGTTGATTTAGAAGGTGATGCTATTTAAATTCAATAAATTAGTTGGTGTTGGTGGACAAAAATGCAATTAGACCCGGGATGCAATTAGACCCGGGAACCCGGACACCGCCAGGTGGCTGGGTTCGACGACCCGGTTATAAGGTTTATAGAGATCACTACCTAAAGGAGGCCCGGAAGCTGCCGGCCCATTCCAAACCTTTTATTACACTGACGACCTGCCTCTAAACCGTTTAATGGTATAATGAATGACAAATCAAAGAGCTAATCTCATATTTTCTTCTTTATATTTCACTATCCCGGAATCTCGGCCCATTTCCTATTAGAGCCTCATTTCCTATTAGAGCCCCATTTCCTATTGGAGCCCTATTGCGCTAAACATCTTAATCACCAAACGGGGCGTAAAATTCCGTTCACATTGGATATTATATGGGCCGTCTGTTCCCTGGTAAATGGGACACGGTCTATTAGGCAGCCACGATAACCGATAATAAAATCTACCCCAACCATCAAGGCTGTTATAGCCGACAAGTAGCTAGAGCTCACATCTACAACCAAAGCTAATTATCAATTCTGCCAGGATTCTGAGATAGTGTCGCAGTCGCGGTGGCTAATATAGGATCGCAGTAACAAGGATCGGTGACCAATGAGCGCAGAAGAGCTGTTTGTATTATATAATTCTAGCAGCACTGTTTTTATTATCCCTACGCCGAGTAATTGGATAGAATTTCTTATCCTTACAGAGCTAGGGCGTTAATTTGGAATTTTCGTAATAGGACTTAGCAATGAAACAAATTTTATATAGCATTGTACAACTCCTGTCAGCCTATATGGTTTCTTATTTTGTCTATTCCCACTCAAACAGATAACTTCCAAAAAGATGCATTTCGGTCGTTGCAGTTTACTCTGCGGTGCTACTATGTTGGGGATGTCAGGTGACATCCCACATTGGGATAGTCTCCCATGGAGTAGATAGATAGATATCTCTTGCTCTCTCTCTCTCTCTCTCTCCTTCTCTCCTCCGTCCGCAATACAATATTCAATATCTTCATATTCCATTGCCCCTTGTATGATCTCCATGAGGTTATGAGCCTCTCTTTTCGTTTCCTCTGAGATCCTGCTAGTCTGGACCACTAGCACTTTGTTTTATCTGTTTACAGAACACTTACTTTTATCAAGATGGCGGGATCTGATACCCAAGACGCGCGCCCGCCACCTCCTCCACTTGACAACACTATTGAGCTCACAGAACGCAGGAAGAAACAATCATAGGATGTCGGATTACCCGCCATCGGTCCTGTAACTCTGACAAAGATCTCAGTGCTGGAGGAGACAAGTACAAATGTTGAAGACTGGCATGACGAAGTTTACTGTGTTCTCCGTCCTCTGCGTCTTCACAAGCTGTTGGACCACAAACGTCCACGACCCAAGAAGGGAGACAAAGGTTATGAACAGTGGTCTTACTGGTCTACCACCGTCTCCGGGTGGATTTTCACCCATTTACACTCAAATCTGAAAGACCTGTTACGCCCTACACTCGGTATGGGTACACATGGTTACGCTGAACTGTTAGACAGTGAAGAAGAAGAAGATGAAGAGCACGACATGTACGCCGATGTTTTGATGAAGGAGATCACTCGTGCGTTGCGTGGCGGCAATCTAATCAACCAAACAATCCTCGATGGAAAGAGGTTCCTTCACTTGAAAAGAAACAGTTTCGGCACCGTTAAAGACTACATCACTGCCTTCCGGAGACATCTAGCGATCCTCGAGAAGCGCAAGATTGCTCCGCCACCACTTGGAGCATTTATTCAAATCATTGATCAGCTCGGCAACGAATCACCGAAGTTGAACTTTATCATTGAACAAATCAGCAGGAAGCAGACCATTACTCGCGACGAATTCGATGAGTTCTGCAAAGACCTGCAAGTTGAATCTGACACTCGCGAATCCGGCGAAGCAGCTGCTGCCCGAGGAAGCCGTAACAACAATAAGAAGAAGCGACCCTCGACAACTGCTAAACAGGAAGATGACAAACCACAAAGCCAAACCCCTCGTGCCTCCGAGGACGATCATAAGAAACAGTCTGACAACAATAGCTCCGGAAAGAAGTTCCGTGGAGCACCCCCGAAGGGCAAAGACATTCACCAATACGCGAAGGAAAAGCGCGAAGCAGAGAAGCAAGTGGATGACAACGGTAACTGCAGTTTCTGTGGACTCGGTCCCCACAATGCCAAGAACTGTTACCACCTTGCCGACAACATTGTTGGAGACTGGAAGTTTCACAGGGGTGTGTGGGCATATACTCTTGCGAAGAAGAAGCAAGACGGCTCTTGTGGAATGGCTATCACAGCGATGGCTACTGGCAAAGTCGACTAAAGATGGCTGCTGGATTCAGGTTCCAGAGAAACAATGACTAGCTATTATGGCGATTTCTTCACTTATGACCCTGTCCCCGCCACACATGCATACGCATATCGTGCTGTTACTGGCGAGCGTGTCATCACAAAGGGTAAAGGCATGATCCTCGTCCAAGCCAAAGACCGTAACGGCATCATCAAAAGTGTGCTTGTTGCAGGCTGGTACAGCCCCATAATGGATAGTAGGATACTATCCACAGAACGTCTAAGAAAAGACTGGAATTTGTTTCACAACCTAAGACATGAATGCCTCGAAGAAGAAGACGGCACTTTATTCGGTCTTACAGACACTGCGCCAGGAGTCCCTTACCTTGTTGGCCCATTCAACGACGATGGAGGACGCCAACCAACAGAAAACGAAGACCTCTCTAGCAGTGACGAAGGTTACGAATCCTCACTTTGTGACACAGAGTCCAGTGACGAAGAAGACACTAATAATAATGATGGAATTGTATTCCGAGCGCTCTCCGTAATGGAAATTCACCGCCGTCTCGGACACGTCGGTAAGGCTAAGATGTCTGCAACAATCAAGGATGCTATTATGGTTGAAGACCTTGAAATGCCAAGTTGTTTAGATATCGACTGCGAAGCCTGCCTGCTTGCCAAATCGAGAAGGAAGGTCTCCCGAGAACCCCAGGTTCGAGTCCAGGATGCCGCTTGGAAGTTCCACATCGATACACAAACCATGTCTCCACCAGGCCCAACTGGAGAGAAGTACTGGGTTCCAATCGTTGACGATGCTACCAGGATAGGCAGAGGCATCTTCACAAAGACGAAGGAAGAGATATCTACCCGCATGATAGAATTCTGCGAGGAAATGAAGCTGCTGACAGGTAGATACCCCGGTATTTGGCGCCTCGACAACGGCACCGAATTCAAAAGATTCATTACGTGGGGAAAGAAACGTGGGTTCGTCTTTGAGCTCACTCCTCCGTACACTGCAGAACCAAACGGCACAGCCGAATGGTATAGTGGCTATATCAATGAGATTGGAAGGACCATGATCGTTGACTCAGGACTCGATGAAACGCTCTGGCCATTTGCTCACCAAGCTGCTATCTACATTGTGAACCGTCTTGCAAACAGCGAGACCGGTAAATCACCAATCACCCTCTGGCGTGAGCTTCTTTACATTCAAAATACCAAGCCAACTCTCAAGCATCTACGGCCATAGGGATCCACTGCCTATGTGCACATTCCGAAAGATAAGCGAGTGCAATCTCGGAAGGCCGCACCCCGCGCCTGGAAGGGCTACCTCATCGGCTATGAGGGGGATGGCGGTCATGTTTACCAGATCTGGGATCCCGTGAACCAGGAGATAAAGAGATCTCGTGATGTTACTTTCCACAAACCTAGTGACGAGCATGACGACGGTGAAACAGGGGCTATAACACTTCCCCCTGGCCCTCCGAAGGCTCCCAACAATCCTGGAAATGCAGGAATTTATCAAACTTCATTCATTAGCTCGGGCGAGCAAGCAAAACCACAGTCAACAATTCAGCAAGACCGACCACAGGTCCGAGAAGCTACTCCGGCACAGCCTTCACAGACCATTCTGCCAGACAGCATCTCCAGTTACAAGACGACTCCCGGGATCATTCCCCGAAGAGAGATTCGACAAATTGAACAAGCACCGTCTTTGCACATACCCTCGAGCACACACCTATTCGACAGGTCCACAGCTGCTTCTCGTCCCCGGACTCGACCCACTTTGCTACGTGCGCATACACCTTTGCAGAGAATTACTGAGGAGGTTATTCAACCTCAGCGGATGCGCGCTACAGAAGACAGTGGCGACGAGCAACGAAGAGCTATACTGAATGAACGCCTACATCGACTACAGGAAGATATCGAGACCATGAGCAATGAATGGCAGGATATACGCCAAGAAACTGAGCGCATTGAGGAAAGGATTTCAAACAGATCTACATCTATTGAACCTACTCCTACCCCTGCTGTTGCTACTGCTCCTGCCTCACACCACACGCCAGATAGGCCTCGCTCTCCTCAGGAATACCGATTTCCATTCCCTTCACCAGATCAGTTACGCCTTTACAGGGAAGAGAGTGAGCAAGTGAGCGAGCAGACAGATCAGCGAGCGAATCAGCAGACGGTGATCCAGATGTCTATTGAGAAAGACCCATCTCTAGTGCCACCTCCAGTGCTAGCGCCAGTCTCACCATCATCATCATCGCATGATCAAGTTGCTTCTGTTACCAAAGAAGTTATCTCAGTCAGTTCTACACCAGATCCAACCCTCCCACCCCCTTCACGACGAGTATCACATCGCCGAACCAAGGGATGCCCTCCGGAGCGGTACTCCGACCCGAATCGACCCCTCCTTTCCGTCGAGCGTGCATCGATTGCCAGAATGCAGAAGAAGCGACCACGACTCGATCGTCACGAGAAAACAAGTGCGGAGGAAGGTGGTAACAACGGGGAGGAGGGTGTTAGACAGAGATCTGCGGGATCTGTTAATGATGCTGAAGCCGCGCCTGCTTCCTCGAGAACTGATTCCGAGGGACCAGCAGCCCTCGCCGTCACTGCTCCTGTCAAACCAATCATCATGTTCAATGATAAGCCCCTTCATGGAAAGGATGTCATTATTCCCACCACATACAAATAAGCACAGAAATCCCCTCACTGGGAATTCTGGCACGCTGCTATGGCTCAACAAATCGAGGATCTGAATGCACAAAAGACATACACTCTGGTACTCAAACCAAAACGTGCGAGCGTTCTACCTGGCAAGTGGGTGTACACTGTGAAAACAAACACCTACGGATTTGTTAATACCTTCAAAGCACGCTGGGTTGTGTGTGGAAATTTCCAGCAAAAGAAAGATGACCGGGAAGATTGCTATGCCCCTGTGGTCTCCGAAGCACTGATCAAGATCGTGCTAAGCCTTATTGCTATCTACAATCTGAAATGGAGGCAGGTTGACTTCACTGCAGCATATTTGAATGCTTCCCGTGCTCACAGAGAGGTTGTGTATATGCAGCAGCCCTCTGGTTTCGAATATCATGACGACGAAGGAGGGATCAAGTCCTGGGTGTGCTCCCTAGACCAAGCTTTGTATGGTCTTAGGGACTCTGCATTCTTATGGAACGAAGAGCTAGACAAGACCCTTTGTGGTATGGGGTTCCAACCAATGGAAGATGACCCCTGTGTTTACAAGAAAGGTGTCGGAGCAAAGATGACCATTCTAATGCTTCATGTTGATGATTTCATTGTTGCTGCTCCTTCTGATAAAGAGATTGACGCCGTGATCGCTCAACTAAGCAAGCATTACCCCCTAAAAGACCTCGGTGAACCGAAACAGTACCTTGGCTGCTTGCTGGAGCGAGACTACGACGCCGGGACTATTCGGATGTCCCAGAAAGCCTATGTCCAAAAGATCCTGCACAAAGCAGACATGTTGCACTGTAAAGGAAGGAGTATCCCATTACCGGCGACATGGAACTGGTCCGAAGGCCACGAGGATGCAACCTCGACCCTCGAAGACAACAACGACTACTTGTCAGTTGTGGGAAGTCTGAACTGGTTGGCAATGCGTACGCGCCCCGACATCAGGTTCTATGTTACAAAGCTACAACACAAATCTGCGAATACCACTATTCACGACCAAGAAGCCATGGTGCAGGTCCTTCGTTACCTCCGAGAGCATCCAGATCGTGCGATCACACTCGGAAAGAAGAAGGAGTTACAGTTCTATGCCTATGCCGACGCTTCACACGGAGACAATCTGAACTACAAGTCAACTGAGGGCGCAGTCTGGTTCTTTGGAGGTAGTCCAATCCAATGGTCAACCAGGAAACAGACTATTATGGCCCCGTCAACCACGGCCGCCGAATGGTGCGCACTTGGTCAGCCTGCACGGGACGGCATGTGGCTTCGCAAACTTGCCATAGCCTTTGGTTTTCCCAGAGCAAGCGATCCGTTGGTGATCTACACAGATAACATCAACACTCAGCTACTCTTGAACAAGAAGACTGGTCGCAACTCGACAAGATGGCTTAACATGCGATATTTCTTTGTGAAAGATGCTGCTGCCAAGGGCTACATTGACCTCGAAAGGGTTGAGAGCAAGGCCAACGTGGCGGATGGTTTCACGAAGCCACTCGGAGAAGAAGCGTTCCCCGGATTCATCACACAGCTAGGGATGTGAGAACAGGGTGGAGCGAAAGGGAAGAAATGAAGTGGACAACATGATAGGATTTCCATTCTGAATGGAGCCCTCCTATTGGTTGAAAACCCACAGGATTTCAGAGTGCATTTGTTATTGAATTGAAAAGAAGATCACTTGTTTTGCCTGGTCAACTGTGGAGGATGCGGAGGCATGAGAGCCTATGAGGGGGATGTTGGGGATGTCAGGTGACATCCCACATTGGGATAGTCTCCCATGGAGTAGATAGATAGATATCTCTTGCTCTCTCTCTCTCTCTCTCTCCTTCTCTCCTCCGTCCGCAATACAATATTCAATATCTTCATATTCCATTGCCCCTTGTATGATCTCCATGATACTACGATAGCTAGAAGACAGTGTGCCGGTTTATTTTCACTAAAGTTTCAAGACTACAGACACACAGACAGCATCTGGGCATAGGTATATATGAAATCATGAACATGTAACAGAATGTAACTGATAATTCTAACAAAATCATATAAGGATAAAGAGATGGCGATATTTTGTGCCACCTTTTCGGAAGCCAATCAGGCTCTAGACGGCAGTGTCTCTATGGATATAGTGATACTCACTATCGTTTTCATCCCTGCTGAATCGATACTAGCCAACATTCAAAGAAAGTAAATACTATGGCTGTATTACGGATTCTATAGGGCTAATGAAATATACATTAGCACTGCAGCGCTCGATGCGTATCTATCGGAATGCCTCGACTGCTTCTATGGAAAGGAGTCTCTTTTAGCGATTTCTACCTTAACGCCGAAGGATATTAATTAGAACAAAGATCCAATCTACAACCGGGTAACAGAGATTCTACCTGAATCTTTTGTCCTAATTACAATTGACGGCAGTATTACGGCAAAGCCAGTGTGGCCGCCGGTAGAAGTCATAGTAACTACTAGTATTCTAAAGGCCACAAATGCAGCTACTCCAGCTAAATATCCTTGGGCACTGGATAGCGCCACAGCCTTAATGGTGACAGGGTCAATCGTGTTGGCTTTGGTGCTGGGCTGTGTTAGCTGGAGTATACTAGGGTTCCCTTCTTTCTAGTTCGACCGAAGGCCTATTAACTCCAAATTTATGCGCATTTGATTAGATGTTCGAGCTTCCTGCTTTTCAATTTATGACCTTTGATACTTGAACAAAGAGATCCAAAGACCAAATGGCTATCATTCGTCTGGACAACTGTAAAAGAAAACATGGTGGCACATAAATACAGGGTTATTTAATTTGCAAGTTTAATTTCAGGCATGAGATATGACCACGAGCAGGAAATAGAACCCTTCATTTTCATTGATCGTCAGACTTGAGTGGAAAATGCCTTAAAGGGTTAAGACCTAGCTCTGTGATCATGAACTATATGAGTTATTCCTATAAGCGAGGCTACGGTACATAGGCACTTTTTGCTCGGCACTATGTCGAAAATAGTTGGTTCGAGGTATCCGGAACAGTGTCGCAACATTTGCTGTGATTAGAATAGCAGTTATTACCACAAAATCACAGCTATACAGAACGCATAACGAGGGGAATTGGAAGTATATAATCGAATGCTTATCTCACTCTAAGGAGGAAAAACCTTCTTTGCACTCTTAGATCAGTTCAACCAAGACTCTCCTAGATTTGAAGCAAAATGGGAATTTTGGCAGATCTACCCTTCGAGTTATTAAGATTGATTGTTGTCGACCTCGATTATGACTCCTTAAAATCGTTTTCCCTCGTCAATAAAATTTACAGATCGGTCAGCACCCCGGACATTTTCCGTACCTTCAAAGTCGAGTTCTTAGAATAAGGCATAAAGAGCTTCGAGAGGCTAGCAATTTCCTCTTTAGCGTAGTATGTGAGAGTCCTTTATTATGATGTATCAGAGTTGGTCGACCTATGTATGTGATTACCCAGCTCTTTATTCGGCTCTATACTTATTCTTCTAGTGATCTAGCATTAGGACTATTTTTCTACCTGCATCTACACTCCCCAGGAGTATGCTAGAGATCAAAAAGATTTCTATTGGGCACTTCGAGGAAAGCAGTTTTCCTACAACGCGATATTTGCCTATTTCAAAAGACTTGCTATAGCTCAGAATATGCTTTTGAAAGAGCGGATGGATATCCATATATTTACGGGCTCACTTCGGCATCTCTTTAACCTGAGTACTGTTAAGCTCTCTTTTCATAGAGCCAAAGAGGATCAGCTTCTTTGGTTCGCTAATCGCATATTTCTTAGTTCTAGTGAGAACTCACTTCTTGTTCACCTTAAGGCGATACTTAGGGGGGTGGTTACGGCTTAGGATACCGGACTAGCCTTAAAACGTTTCGAAATTGATGGAATATATTCCAAGCTTACCACCAAGGACAGTAATATCCTAGAAGTTACAAAGGCTGCTTTGGCAAAACTTGAGAGCTTAAAGCTTATAGATAGCCCTAGGTTTCTAGAATTTCTCTCCTCTGTCCCTTTACCTTCTTTGAGGCGTCTCGAACTAGAGCAATGTTGGTCTGTAGGCCTGGGTATAAAATCTTTCTTGCAACCCCGAGATGGGAGAGTACTACATATATTTTTCAAAGAAAAGAATCAGGTTTATTATGAAACATGGAATCCAGATGGTCACTCAGACCTCCAATTGTTGTTTAAATCGTCTTTCTGCTCTAGGAATATTGACCTACGAGAATGCCTTTTACTTATAAGAGATGATATATGATTGTCTAGATTTGACCATCCTTTCCAGTCTAGGACGAACTACAAAAAGCAGATTTCTGAATGACATAAGACTGCGGCACCTGAAACGGGTCGCACGCAGAGTAGTAATACATAAAGCAGTCGAGCATCTATATTATTAACGTTTGATTTCTAAGTAAGATGGACGAACAAATCTAGCTGTCAGGTAATAAGAAGCGGGCTTCTTGGCGATCAACTTGCCGAGCGCGACTCTCTCAGCATATATGTAAGGTCCAGATCCTTCTTGAAATGATATGTATTAATATTTCTAACCAGTCGAGAGAGTTGGAATTAAAGTAGATCCTTCTAAGGTGCGATTAAAGACAGAGGACGAATGTCTCTATGTATAGCAGATAGAAGATCCATCCCTCGAGCATCTTTTTTAGAAGCATATGAGTAAACACTCGATAGGCGCCTACATGCTGCTTTACCGCGAAGTGGGCTAGAAGTTTTTTGTAGTCCCTACAAAGGTAAATCGAGTGGCCCTCGAGGATAAATCATTAAGCTTATTGACTTTATAGTGCAAAGACAAACAAGCGGATTCTGATATTGTTGCTCAAATGTAAGCCGAAAACGAGAGTCTCGCAGAGAAACTGAAGATAGTCCAAGATAAAGCATTTCACTATAAGGAGGTTACGACATAAGCGGAAGCTGAGATTAAAGACCAAAAATCAATCATCCGGGAAGCACAAATGACCATTCATATTCACTAACAGGACATTTCGAACTAGATAGCCGTTGCCGAGTGGTATCAGATGAAATGTTTCCAATGCTTAAATGTATTGGGACAAATGATAGCATTCTTATAAGACACTACATCTAACGATAGGTGGCGAGCGGTGCTCCTTAAGCTTCTTAGGCCTTCGTACTTCTTTTGTCTTACACTTTTATAGTTCTATCTTAAATCTAAGCGTTACCATCTTCAGGGATGATACAGTATTATAATGGATTTGCCTAGAGTTGAGAACGAGGAACTTAAATGAGAGTACTCAGATATGTTACTGTAGAAAGATTCGCACTTAAAAAGCTCTTGTTCTACTATAATTGGTTTATATAGGAGTTTTCACAAAAAGTACCGCGTTCCACGTTCTCACAAGCTTCCTAGGATAATCCAGCCCGTACGCCAAAAGCCGGGCTAGAATGGACCAGGATAGAGCTATATCACATTTGCTTGCTCTTTTGGCCTGTAGCATTTTTTTGGGCCTGCAGCACTGTTTTGGGCCTGCAGCACTGTTTTGGGCCTGCAGCACTGTTTTGGGCCTGCAGCACTGTTTTGGGCCTGCAGCATTGTTTTAGGCCTGCAGCACTGTATTTGGAATCCGCAACCTTGACTCAAGTGCACGAGCTCTTATACCCACTGCCGCGCATCTAAAATTGTATCAAATGATTCTTCTTCCTTTGAAAACATAACACTAAAGACTTTAATAAACTTTAATAGAATTCGTGTTTGGCTATGGCTCGAAAGTCGAAAAAGAGGGCCTAGAGAAATGCCCGTGATATGCAAACACCCGCACCCACGGAAGGGGGCTCCGACTCCGAATCCTAACAAGCTGATTCCTCGAGAACGCAAGAATTGAGGCAAAAGGCTCGTCGAGATAGAAAAGGCAAAACGCCCGAACGAAATGTGATATTTGCTAGAAGTCCAACTCGTTAAGGCGACTTTGCCCTAAATGCGAGTGACCATAAATCAAACGACGGAACGGATAGCGAATTCGGCGATGCTTCTGAATAAGATGCTCCGATTAAACAAGAACCAGAACCACTTAGACGCTGGGTTAAGGATATTATTCGAAGAGAGATATCGAAACATTCAGTAACAATGGTCGAGGAGTTCTTTATAAGCGACGAGCCGAAGTACGAAGAATGTCGTCATTTCTTTAAGGTTCTTAACCAAGAAATTCGAATAGCCAATAAAAAGCATAATGTCGATAAGGATACGGGTACCATTCCCGAGAAAGGCTATAATGCCCTATACAGGCCCTGGCGGCAAGCAGCAAGAACGGCAGAAGCAAACGGCTCCCCGGAGGAGTTTTGGTCGGCTTTCAATAAGACTCGTGATCTTCTGACCCTCTTTAATAAACGACATTATCTTCCTAAGCACTAGAATATCAGTCCGATATAGGCCGAGCAAATAATTAGGACACCAAATCCCAGAATTGAGCAAGACGACAGCTCCACTTCTGACAGGGATGAGCTCTTAGCCAATAAAGAGTCCGGTGCTGAACAAGACAGTGATGTCGATCACGATGAGCTCATAGGTCTTGATACCTTAGAAGCGAGAACCATGAAACAGCAACGCTAATTGAGCTCGGCTAAAGTGTTGTTCTAGTAGCCCAAAGGTACCGGATCCCAGACCTTCGTGCGGTACGGAAGCCGCTCTACGCCGATCTATCGAATTCGGGCTGGGTCACACGAGAGCTACAACCTAAGTCAAGTAGAACGTGTTTTAACGACTAAGACTCGCGGCACTGCTAAAGAGATCGGGACTAGGGATAGGCATCCTGAAGAGTTCTAGAAATACAAACGAAAAGACGTGGAGGACATTATTAGCATCGGTTGGAAGATCGAACAGGATGATGAGCAGGGGCTTGATCCTCTTAACTTGCTCCAGCCCGCGAAAGGCATACTTTATCCACAAACTCGGATTCTCGTCAAATAGAAAGACGGTGTTTTTACTCTAGAAGGACGATCTTTCATCCGCCGTATCACAGCCGGCTCAGCCTTAGACGGCGATAGAGTGATTTATCAAAAAGCCGAAGAGCTTGAGACTAACTATCGCAAAAAGCATAGGTGGAAAGATATCGAAGATGATGATTATGATGATAAAGATAGCAACAGCGAAAGCGACGGCTTAATTGAGCAAGACAGTGGTCGTAGTAGAAAGCATCGTGGCAAGACTGCTCGTCACTCAAACCCACGTAGACCGAAGAAGAGAAATCCTATTAAGAGCGATTATAGTGATAAGAGCGATGCCTCTACTCGGCCAACACACAGCCGCTATAGAAGATATCGCAGCGAGCCAAAACGGAAACCAGCCTATAAAAAAGGAAACGGCTCCGCGGCTAGAATAGAACAGCTCGAACGGGAGAATGAGCAACTGAGGTTACGCGAAGGGGAGCGGAGAGCTCGAGGCAGAGGCGATCGGGGCCGCGCAGTATGATTAACATCTACCCTTTAGTACTGTTGTGAGCCGGTCTCAAACAGCCTAGCAATTTGTTTTTTTCGGTGATTTTGCTTTTCTTTGTTACATCAAGGGGTTCTAAATCTCAAACTCGTTCCCTTCAATAAGCTAGCCTTAAGTTTTCATTGCTTTTATTTTTATTTATAGTTCATTCATTTTAGCTTACAGACTGCTAGATTCAAGCTATTTCCTCAATAATCGCATTTTTCATTCTTCTCCTTAAGCACGTAGACTTCAATATGGATTACTATCAGCCATCTTATGATCGTTGAACCCAATTCTGCCGGTGAAAAAGATCGGGATGGACTGGGAAAAGAGCGAGAGAAAATTGTGAGCAAGATCCAGTGGTATCAACCATAGGGTGAAAAGCTTCTGAGAGGGGGTGTGAGCGCATGTTTTTAACGAATCTCAGCATCTGGCCTATAATGGGATAGCTTAGAATACACACCCTACAACATCCATTCTATCGTGATATAATTTTCCATTCAATACCGGAATGCGCGGGAAGTCTCATATTCATCATTGCCCCTAGATAGAAAGGATTCTGAATCGATCACAGTGCAATGGCTAAATAGAAGCCCGGGAGGAAACTAACGAAGTAAGGTCTAACACTGCCTTAACCCTTCGAAGTCCAACATGATCACTGCTAGATCGCCGAATTTGAATACTCGGGTTTCCCCACTCTAAGGGTCTAGAATCGAGCAAATTGTATAGTTCAAATACATCGCGGTCACTGTCTCTCTAAATCTTGATACCCATATTCTCTTTGTTGACTGTATATACACTTTAGCTTTGATTAAAGAAAAAAGAAAAAACACACTAACCCATTTCACCGTTTTCGTAGGCTTCTTTATACGTTCTTACTGGTATAATGTGGTCCATGATCTCTCGAATTTTGATCATAGGCGAGACTTGTATCGAATTTGATAAGACAATCATCGGAAATTTGCGTAAGGCCACAAGGATGGTGTCGATATTTTCTGCATTTAAACTTAATAGATGATACAATCTTGCTTTAGATATTCTAACCTTTTTTTTTTTTTTGCGCAAAGAGCTTTTGGGCGTGCCCAATATTATAAAAAGCCAACGAAGCTCATCAAGGTCCAGCTTTCTGAGCCAACTCTTGAAGTAAATAGTTATTTTGTCGGTTGCACTCAATGGGATAACTTCAGTATGTAGTTGGGTAGTCATCGTAGAGAGATTCTTGCATAGGTTAAGATATAGGGAAGTGTCGAGCCTTTTATCCCGTAATACATCGGCTGCCGTGAACAGGAGCTGTTACGCATTTCGAATAAGAGACAAGAATTACTATATAGTTCATAACGCGCTTTTACATATCTTAGTTTACTTTATCAACGCTAGATATAGCGATTGATGTATACTTCAGCCAATTGCAAACAAAGAAGTGTCGAGCCTTTTATTCCGTAGTACGTCGGCTGCTGTGAATGACGACCTATAGTACGGTATAGTGACTTTACAGTGAGATGGCCATTACGATCCTTGAATGAGAGCCAGGAATAACTATATGATTCTCAGTCCACTTCGAGTGAGTAGGGTGTCTTATGATTTTACTGGTTGAACGCTAGATATAGCGGTTGTTATATGCTTCAGCCAAAACCATTATTGTACATGGATAATCTCTATCAAAATCCATTGCATTCTATCACTTCATCACGCTGTTCAGAGGATCGTCTTATTCTTATTATAGCGTTTGGGAGTAAGTAGACTGTTATGTGGATGTAGAATATACACCTATCTCCATTGTGGCCTGAATTTTTCCACCGCTTCCCTTGTACCATCATGCCTTTGAATGTCCTTATAATTAAACCATCCAGTTGTTACCTCCTTTCTAGATTGAGCCTCAACCAGCAGATCTGCATGACCCAAACAGTTTTCTTTATAGTGGATAGACAGAACCTTCATCACCTTTCCCTTCGGCATTTTTGGCTCCTTACAGATGGCATGGTCTGACGTTATGTGCGGGTAGGCCGTGTTCGGTTTAGGTCCGGTTCTCTTACTATAGGAGGAGATAGATGGTTCAGTGGGATATTCAGTAGTCTCGTGCTGAGCTGTTAACTTTTGTATACCAAATAAATTTTTTGGCATACCTTCGAAATCCCAAAACATGCGAGTAGTAGCCTAATCATATTAGACTTCGGTCCAGAACTGTTTGCAAAGATAGCGGTTATCGTTAGTGACAAAATATGGATATGAAGCTCATCCGTTAGGACGTATGATATATATGTTTGAATAAGTATTTGGAGACAGAGCGTTGGGTGAGGATAGAGTTTTTAAAAAAGAATCTCAGGAAACTGCTTTAGGAACTGGCTCTTAGACTCGCTGCCACTTTATCAGCACTGAGGACTTACGCACAAACAAAGGAAGCGAACGCAAATTTGATTTGATCTAAGAGGAAAGAAAGGATATTGTGATCTACATTGGCAAAACTCTGGGGAAATAGAACGCACGTAACCCTTGGGAACTAATTTAGAACGCTTATCAATTTTAACGGCAAGGGTTAATACTTCTAGTCTGCTTCGTAGTTGCATACATATGTACGATGAATCACACAAGCTAGTGTCCAATTGTCTCGCAGTAGCCCACTCAGATTGTTGGCTGGGGTATTTATTAGCCCTTGTGCCCCAAATCTGGCTCAGTCACACTTCTGCTTTCCTCCACCTAGTCAGCCTAGCAACCAAGTACATACAAGTTGGTTTCAAGCCAGAATGGCGAGCCCTTCGAGTACAATCGTTATTGAAGATGACGAACTACCCTCAAACTGGCGGTCTGACCTACAATTCCAAGGGACCACCCCACATATATCTGCTGAGCACCCGATCATTCAACGAAGCGATACAGCAAGTGGTAGCAAAAGGGAACCACCTGACACTCTAGTATCGCCTCCTTAAGACGCTCCATTTTCGTGAGCTAATGATAGACCAGGACTTTCTTTTTCAAAAGCTGCGTATGGCAGTCGAACAACACGTCGAAAGGCTGGAACAGAAAGTCCAGGAGCTTCAAGAAAAGCTTTTCACACAGGAACAACAGCATCAAAAGCAGCTTTCCCGACGACCAGTCCTATACTGCAAAATCTGCTTCCAGGCGCCGGATCATTGGCGGACTATGCTATACGGCCACATGACTTGTGAGTCATGCATGGAGAGAGATAATCCAAAAGAATGCCCTGTCTGTGGAGCAAATGATTCGGGATATATAAAATGCTATCCATTTGCAGAATAGGCGTGGATATACTGCTCAAGCCCGAATTTGAGATATAAAGCTTGGAGTCTCTTCGATATAATGGCCGTCCAATGGCTCTAGTTTGTCATTGTATGCCACTACGGCTAGTATCTGCTATATGGTAGACAAACCGGGATTTTGTAGATTCCAGCAATCAACAGATAGACCTTTGTCCTTCTCAGAGAGTGTAAAGGTCCAGCAAAATGTTTGCTCCTCAATCGAAACATACGAAATATCAATGTCAATAGCGCTGAGAGTTTGGATATAAGATGTTTCGTAAATTAAATATTGAAGTACCGGCATCCCTTCAGGAAGCCTAGTAATTTTATGTTGTCTATGCCTTGGGAGTGAAACAGAAGAGGATTTACACGACAAGAGTACGGATTGTACATTCAGTATGATTCTAGAGGTAAGGACGATATCGCCTTCCGGTAGAACGGAATGGTTGCAAAGACATTCTCTGAATAACTTCTAGGATTCCGCTGGTATTTGTATGTCGGAGTTGTTTTTGCGGGGGTTGCAGAGATAAAGAATGATATAGGTCTCGCTAGGAAGCTCGTGAAGATGAGACCCAACAAGCACTAGCTGTGCATTATGCTCTTTAACCATGTTTTGGACCCATTTATCGCTTTTAAAAATTGAAGTCCAAAGCAAAATCCGGCTCCTATCAGATTCCCAGGGTTCTTGGCTAAAAGCTGATAGGAAGTTGCCGTGGGAAATCACTAAGATGTGGCGAGAAACATGGTTAAGCAACTCCCTAGGAAGCGTCCTAACAGACGGGACTTTTGGTTTCTTCGATAGGCTAAGGGATCTCTCCATTGCCCGCATCATTGCGGACAAGAAGGTAAAAATGACTGTCAATATTAGATTTAGGCATTATAAGGGTAGAAATATCTCATATGATCAGGGGGTGTAAAGATATCTACCCTCGCTCTGGCTCCCTAGAATGATAAAGCGCGCTAAATTAAAGGTAAACGAGGGAGTGTAAGCAGGAGTTGACTAGGACTATATAGAAGGTTTTATAGCGTCACTCTATGATAGCACGTGCATACTTCTAAGACTAGGAGTGATAAGTCCACCGGACCCCGTATATAAAACTAATACATACACATAAGCAATATCTCTCATTCCAAGCAGATAAGCTTATACTGCCCCTAGTAGAGCCTCGACTAAGCTTGGTGGCGGCGCGGTCGGCTTCTTAACGCCTGTCGTATCGTAGGCACCACGACTATGAATTTCAGCTTAACTTAATTGAAAGTCTCTACTAAAGATACAAAACCTACCTAGTAGAATGGGCCACATAATTAAGTGACTGTCGAATGGATATCGTAGATTATGCTATAGGGAAACCTGGCTCCTCTTTGTGCTTGGTGTTTTTAAGCGAGATGTGGGGATTGATCTCTCTAAATAAGGAGTTAACTGAGTTTAAATATAAGAATAAAGCACGCGGATGTGTATACCTGAGTGTGATTATAGAATAATGGGCAGCAGCAAATTGCACAGAAAATAAGACAACACCAGCTCGCAATAAGGATGATAAAGATTAGCCCTATATCCATGCTGAAGAGAAAGCGAATTAAGGTATGTATCGGAAGAGGGTATAAGCCTTTTATAACGGACCCAAAAGCTGATTCTGTTTGACCTTACCAATCCGCGAGAGGCCATTTCCGGACTGTATATAGTAGTTCCACACATTTTCCGCTATCAAATCAAATCTATTATAATGATCTCATGCCATTAGCGTTTCTATATCACAAGATTGAAGTCTAGATCTAGGCAATAAAAAACAAGTCGAAACGTAAGTTTTCGGTAGCATCCATCCATTAATAAAGTATGTATGGTCCCTTATATCTATAGATACAACGCTCGGCATCTTCCGTATACCAAACTAGAATCTAGCATAATAGCCGTGCTCAGTTTAGTACCACTATAAAGCATCTCTCTATGAGCTTTAATAGAAGGGGAGACTTGTTTTTGATGAAGTGTAGTCCGCTGGATTCGAAACATCCTAAGTAACTTCTATGTAGCCGCAGTAATATAGATCTGTAACCTGATGGTGATGAAAGTACGGAGTGTCCTGTGAACGTTCTTCATTTCTTTCGTACTCGTAGTGACCTGGATCCGATGCTAGGACAGGCTGCTGAACGGACTGTGTTATAGGAGTGCTGAGTGCAGGATAGGAGAAATTCTTTTGTCGACTGCCAGCTTCGAGGCTTAGAGAGTTGGTCAATTATAGGCTACCTAAGAGAGAGTAGGCTAGCTCAGTATATGACGCGGACGGGCGTTTTTTTATCTGATAATTGTTAGCGATCGAAAAGCACACTCTAGGAGTACTCGGATCTTACCAACTTCACCGCGCTCATATTGTTCCTCTAACTTTCGAACTCGAAGAATCTCATAGATTATCTCGGCGCTATCTTTAGGTTTCAACTTCTTGCTGGTAGATTGAGCAACTTCCGTCAGCTTATCGGCAGTAATCCCATGCTCACCGAGCTCGCACATAATGTAAAGTAGCAATTTGATACGGTCTAATTAGGTAAGGTGTTAGCCAGAATAAGGTTAAATTAACATACAAAAATAATTACCTCGCTCCTTTAGGTAGTAAGGTTCCCTATAAGGTATAGTACGGGGCCACCATTCGGGCTTAGTCTTTTCGGGGTCACGGGTAGTGCCTCCATTATATTGGTGTTCGCGTTGTTTGTGCGGCTCGATGAATTTGATAAATGCCCTCACGATAACGCGGCAGTTGGGCTGCTGAAATTTTTCGAGGGCGCCCTTATAGTAGTCAATAACCTTTCGGCTATCTCCAATTCTGAATTGGACTGTTCTAAAGAGGATTCTATCACGGTTCTCGGCCTAGTGATTTTCGTTGTTTTCGCCTATACCGCCGAGAAAATTCTGGCGAACTTCCGAAGTAAACATATCGTCGGGGTTAACAGACAGAGATACGTACGTCCTAAGCTTGCCATCATTATCGAGATAAATCGTCGCGAAGTGAGGGGGCTATATCATAATTTCAGCGCAAATAACATAGATTCGGCAGTCATAGAATATAAGCGTACAAGAGTAACCTCACGGCCTAGGGGTTCTTTAGAGGCTAAAGCAGACCTCCTTATCGCACACATTGGGATGTTTGGCAGCGGTAATAATTCAACGACCGTGGTATATTCGAATGGGATCTTAGTCACGAAAGATTTCAGAGGAAGTAGGCTCCGAAATGGTTTTTCGCTTTATGCAGACGGGAGGAAGGATAGTGCCTATAAATACTAATAATATCGTTAGGTATGGGTACATTAGAGCCTTACGCATATCCTACCAGCTGGTCTGCTACTTTCGGTCTAATTAAAGCCAAATTTCGATGCAGCTAAGAGCTAGCCAGGTTTGAAAGTCGCATTTATCTGCTGCCATTCTAAGACATCTTCTCCTAGACTTTGAGTCAGGTACTTGGCTTCTATCCTACACAGTGGTAAGTTTCGTAGTCCTAAACTAAATACACTTAATGCTTGTTCGATTATATCATATATCTTTTCATGCTTTAGCTGACCCGTCTATCACTGCTATCTGTTTGTTCATTCGGAAGTGGTTTTTGCTAGGCCTTCTTTTAACAAACTTCGCAGTCGAAACTAAGCTCTTAGTCTCGAGGTATGATTTCATCCTCTTCACATGTACTATATTCCTTTTCGCGCATTTTTGAGCGATATCGCCACACGCTTGGTTCCTCCTTTGTCACGTGTCTATATAGATGTGTGTAGCTCTGATCGAAGCATATGATAGGCGACTATTTGATTCGCACTATATGTTAGCTCGGTGTCTGATATTATGAAATGGTGGTACCACCTTTTAGATCAGAAAGAGGCAGTAATTGCCCGCGTGGACTATAACAGAAGAGTTCAGGTCAGCATAAGTCTTATTATAGAGCTTAGGGGCCCTTCTACCTGCAGAAAATGTATTGTGCTTATACGCGGTGATCCCGATAATAATAGGTGTCATAGGTAGATAAAAAGTATGTTGCTTTAGATTTTAGACGTCAATATACTAGGAAGCCACGGTGCTCTTATAATAAAATCTACAGACTATTTTTGTAGCTGATATATTTTAAAATCGTTTCTCTTGAATTCAGCGATTTCACCGAGAAGCTGAAAATGTGGGACTGGTCCCTACTAGACCTTAATAAGGGATAGGATCTACATAGCTAGCTACTACTCTAAATTTAATAGGGGTAAATATAGATGCTACGTCTATAGAATTATACGGATAGGCCTTTTGCGAGCCAAGTCTTAATAAAAAAGAGTGTATTCAACTAGAATACTAAACATAGGGAAAGAAAGAAAGAAGGAAAAGGAAGAAGCAACGCGCTAAAACAATTAAGGTAGTGATGCCTGAGGCATCAATCAAACAATACAAACCACGTTCTACAAAAGACGGTGGGAGACGGCAGGATCGGTTCACGATCTATAGTCGTAAATTCTTCGTGACAAGGCCACGCTATAAGAGACCCGATAAACATTAAGTGAGGATATGCTTTAGTCAAAAGTATCCGAGTTCTTCTTAATGTCTCACCAAGCTTTTGAGACATCCAATATACCAGTCATTCAAACTGTCGTGTATCTTATTTCCCGAAACTGCTGCCGAGTTTCGTCTTAAATCATACTCCTACCAGTATCTTAAGTATAGGCCCTGATAATAAAGAACTCTTTTCAAGCTAGGGTCTTCTGCCGATTGATCTAGAACAATCGGATCATCGCTACTCAAGGGAATGAATTTTATTATCCCATATGTTCCCTGAACCCGTGAGATACCATACTCGAACACTGCAAGGTCCACTAGCATCATATTTCTATGGTCCTAGGCTTGATGCTGAGCGCTAAGCTCTAGAAGAGGAACGGCGTCAATAACTACATCTTTGAGGCCCTTTGTTTCGATGTCTTCCATAATTTTGATATTGGACGGGAACCAAATTCGCACAGTCTGTTTGGTTTGAGCTTAGTTTTTATTTTAAGAGGAAGGGGTACTCACATATAAGCGGGCCTACGCTAAATCTTTGACGGGTACACTAGAGGCTAAAGAGGAAGAAAAGGTGGACAATTCTCTTGATGTGGTAGGCATGTCTATTTTCGTAGGTTCGAACGCAGAACTTCGTCTAGAACCTGGACCTCCGAATAAAACTGTATCACGGGACGTGTCTGGTAGAAGAAGGGACATGAAATTTGAAAAGATATAACGAACTGTTGCAATACTAAAGCACGCTATCGTCGCTGAATCTGAAGGAATCTGAAGGAGTGGTCTCTTTATATAAGAATCCGAACTGGTAGCTTGGGACTCTGAAATACCTGGTATAGCAGAAAAGCCATTTAATCTAAATAGTGCGTAAGGATCATCGCTAGGCTTACTTAGTAATGCGAGGCTCCTAGGCTCCTAGCTCCTTCTTTTCCTTTAGCTCGGCACTCAAATGTTCACTCGAAAGTATTGCTATAGACTTCCCTCTAACATTATAGGCCTTGCCCTTAGGTGAATCGATCTATTCGATTATTTGGTGAAATAATTTGAGACGCCGCTTCGGATACCAATTCAGCAACCTATGCCTACTACACATATTTTGTTCTTTTAAAGGATTTCGTAGGCCTCGAATATGTTTTTTCAGACGGATAAAAGATGCAGACTTAGCTCCGCGAAAGAATCAATTCAGAGATAGCTGATATAGGCCTTTAAAAAGGTGGTTCTTGAACATGACCTAAAGGAAATCCAGATCCGTAGTATTTCAGAATGGACGACATATAAAGTTAGAAGTGCTATTTTAGGAAAATAAGGTAAGCGATAAGGCTGGGAGTGAAGCCTCAATAGGTCTTGCGCATGGGCCGGAACGATCCACGAAGGCGAAAAGCGGGGTAAGCTTATATGCCTAGGCGCTAGCATAGGTGGAGCCTTTTTCACTGGCTACTAACTAATGATAAGTCGAGAAAGAGTTTATTTCGCGGTAACGTCGGAGGGAAAAAGATGACGGGAGGCTTAACACCACTATATATAGATAGGCATGGGTTGTTAATCGTGCGAAGGGGCCAAAACAACACACTTAACGTAGCTCTTAGACAGGGATTATTAATCGTGCGAAGGGGCCCAAATAACACACTTAACGTAGCTCTCAGACAGGGATTGTTAATCGTGCGAAGGGGCCCAAATAACACACTTAACGCAGCTCTTATATATGCATAACAAAAAAAGCATGTGAGAGCATATGCTAGCGTATGCCATGAATGGCCCCTCAGAGGCTATGAAAAGTGGAAGTAGCTTTGAAAAAGGTTATACGGCTGGGTGCATTAGCAGCGGAAGGTTCAGAATAATTAAAACACCGTGGTGGTGCGGTTTGCAGACGTATTCGCATAGTAATTTTGCCTCCAGTATACAAATGTAGGAAGTTGTAATACATGATTTTGTTTGGGGGTCCTTTTATTAGAAGACTAATAAATATGACTAACTTTATATGCAGCTAGTCAATGTAGATTAAATGGACTATACCTCGCGCATGTGGTTAATAGGACTGATATTATGGGCAGAGTTCCCTCCGTTACAAGAGGCTTTCCCGAAATGAGTAAAACACCACCCTTGCATAGTCATCTCATGTATCACATTCAATACAGCGCAGGAGAAAGTTATAATGTTTTTACTCTACCTATTATTAAGGCAACAATAGTGTGCATGATTTGTGCATTTATCAAATGCGTTAGAGATCTAAGGATCTGCTATCTGGGGTCTCAGCGTCTCAGGTTTCAAGTGCCAACTGATTGGCTATCAATCCCGTTATCTAACAAATTCATAATATTTACCAACCACTCATTTATCCAAGAAAAAAGCGCTCAGGTCAGCCCGTTTCATCGTGGCATCCTACGCACAGAAGTCTCACCTACTTTGCATATACACTCTAAGCACGGCGAACTGCAGTGTGGCGCACGACTTCTTCTACAACAGCTTTTAGCTGAGAAGACTCTACACCTCAAGGCGTATGTAACATTGACTGTACTAGTACGCGCCTAACCACTAAACTATGGTGCTTAGGGCGTAACACAAAACTATATATTAGATGCTATCGCCAGCAGAAGGGTACATCGCCAACATCCGTAAATATATAACTACCTTACCACATTATGTTCTCAAACCGTAACTGATCATGTCTTTAGTAAGACTCAAAGTCAATAGACTCTATATCATCCTTTTTATTCGGAATCATCCGCTAGTCCAAAATGATTTCCACTAGGGCCTCTACTTTCATCGTCATCCCGACACTAGCGGCACAAAATACCATATCACGCAGTAAGGTAGTGGCTGGCTACCCGGCCATAGACCGACCGCCGGTGTCTTCAAATCTTTTCTTCTTATCGGGCTTTTCAGAATTGCTGATGTTCCTACGGGATATGAAAGTCACTTGGATCAGACTTTAAGGACATATAACAATCGGTTAAATATTCTAGGCATCACTTGCCGTGTTTGGCTACTTTAGGTGCTAGCTCTTCTGCAAAAGAGCATTAATAGACAGGTGATTTTGAAATGCAGCAACCTAGGGGCACTAGAGACCGAGGTCAAGAATTAGGGAAACGCAAACGCCATGACTACCGTAAACAATGTCTAGCCGCGGCCATTAGCAGCTTCATCTTTATACGGATTGTAAAGGCCCTTTTTAATGATCAAGGTGTGCGAGGTCGCCTAAAGAAATTGCGAACCAATTAGTGCTATACGCAGCTAGCAGACGAGTGGGCATGTTTCTTGATAAGCTTAAGTGAAGTGGGACTTACTCAAATTCGATTATCTTGCCATCATACTAGACGGGAATGTTAAGAAATGTCACAAGTTCTAAGGTGCAAGCTATCTAATAGCCAAAGATTACAATATTATACATTTACTACCTCTAGCGATATACTTATAGTTTCGCGTAATGTAGTTAAAATGTGGTCGGTGGGCGTTTATTAAAATAAAACAAGAGAAATTACGACTCCCAAAGAGGCTTGTGAAAGAGTTCTGTTTACCAATAATAAGAAGCGCCGGTCAGAGAAGTCAAGGCGTTCTCGCAATCGAGCTCTGCTAGATATAAGTCTCCACCGAGTTGGATCATAAAGCTGTACCACCAAAAGTCCTCCTACGTGAACCTCAAGGCAGTAGTGAAGTCCTAATATTCAGGGTACCAACCTGCCGATTCCTAATCTAAAAAGCCGGTGATCTTGCCCCTTTGCACCAGAATATTATGGTGCTTTAAATCTCCGTGGGTAAAGACTATGCGATAAGGCAAGCTTCCTATAGTTTTGGCTCGATTAAGTGCGTCGTTGTATTCCATGTCTGATAAGAAGCCACCTAACCAAGCGGGCCGGATAAGATACTCATTAAAGTCTTCCTCTAATTCAAACGGACCGGCATAATAGCCAGGTAGGCGAACACTCCTTATTAAGATATCTTAAAGAGAACAAATCCTCTGCCCGCCCTATAGACTTGGCCACCCTCGTATGATCTTTAGATAGCCTTTAAGCTCTTCTAGAACAGAATTTCGATCCTCGTCGCTAAGTGCTTCGTAGACTCGGCCCAATTCTTCCCCGGGCACACGAGTCATAAGAATCGAGATCGGTGCATAGGGTGTGTTAGGATGCTCGCTATAGCAAATCACCCTTAGAACTAGGAGACCTGCCCTTCGCGCAACTTGCATAGACAACACTTCCTTAATCCGAGTACCATCGGACCATTTCAGAATCAATCCGAATAGAAGCTAAGCGATCTGATTATCATAAGAAATTCCGACCCAGCTACAATACGATCGAGAAAAGCGTCTGAGATATTTGTGGAGAAAACCCCAAAATTGACGTAATCGTTAATACGTTAGCCGAGGAGTAGATGGCATTCGGTCGCTTAAGATTGGTTGGACGTTGTCTAGCTATGTAAAATCAGGCATAAGACAGCGAAATGGTAACAAAAGCTTCATTATAAGCATAGACAGAGTTTTTGAAGTGACCAAACCGAAGAGGTTATAAGGAGGATTAGCAGCAGCTTCAGTCTTATAATGCCGGCATAAGAAATAGGGCGGTGTATAACAGATCACATGATGATGAATATATCGCTAAGGCTGTCAGCCAATTTGCTATGAACTAAAACTCTCAGACATTGCTATAGGAAACATCGCCCAAGTCTTTCAAGAGTATATAACGTTGGTAATCGGACTCTCCGATGGTCACGTGCCTCCGGGCTTATAATTTTCTAACGCCTAGTTTGTATCGGGCATCAACCGTATATGCTCTCGTGAAAGGTTCTCTGCCCCGCCGCGTTGACTTTATCAAATCGCTCGCCCCGTACCAGACTGAACCTTTCAACATACTGCGTCAGGACGTTAGCATTCTCTCTCTAAGTTATCATTTCATCTAACTTTTGGTGAAAAGCAGTTGGTCTCTTAACCAGTTCCGCTCACTTATCTTATCTATCCAGTCCTCATCACTCCCGAACGCTATAGCGCGGTCCTTAATAAGCCCTTCGGCACTCTCGAAGTTAAAGGAATTAGCTTCTTAGCTCCAAGAAGAAACGACCGAAATGAAAGAGGAGGAGAAGAATACCTTCAGATACGTGGACAGCGATCGCCATATCAAACTGCGTCCCCTACTAGATGAACTAGGATATCGTGTTAAGGTGAGAGGATCTACCTGACTATACTACTCTAGAGCTAACCTGTAACAGGGCCATGGTTATATAATATATTGCATAACTGGGAAAGCTGAAATTAACGTAACTCCTAAATACCGGTCGTTCTTCTTTCCCCTCACTATCGGTTTAGAAAAAGACGCACCATCGAGTGAGCTACAAGTGGCAGGCGAAACGCTCGCACTAGGTGATTTTATCCCCATTACTAGCCGTTTGGTCCTTAATACGCAGTTGGACTTTCTTATCGTTCTATTACCGGACGCAAATAAAAAGTAGAGGTTACCTGATCATTTGGCATTGAAAGTATTCTTCAAATCTGTCGGAGTGAATACAAACTATTATGTATATATAAGTGCGCCAGTAAAATATCTATCATTCCTATGATAGTTGCCCTCATCTTGCGCCATGACTCTTGAAGTGTCGGATACGTCTGTAGCTGTAAAGTCGAAGCCTGCTGCGTAGCTTATAGATGCCATTATATCCAGCGTATCAGGGAAGTCTGCGCTTGCCTCGGGGTCGATTGATGCCATTATATCCAGCGTATCAGGGAAGTCTGCGCTTGCCTCGGGGTCGACTGATGCAATCATATCCAGCGCATCAGGGAAGTCTGCGCTTGCCTCGGGGTCGACTGATGCCATCATATCCAGCGTATCAGGGAAGTCTGCGCTTGCCTCGGGGTCGATTGATGCCATCATATAAAGCGTGTCGGGGAAGTCAGGGAAGTCTGCGCGTGTCTCGGGGTCGATTGATGCTATCATATCTAGTACGTCGGGATCACTTGAAAATAACATTAGAGTTGATCGATCTTTTGACATATTAATCGGTATGCCGAGATGTGGAAGGTGACTCCCTTCGGCTGTTTGTGATATAACTTCTAGGGTCGAGAACTGCAAATCCTTAGGAGACCTCCGATAATCGAGTCTGCGGGCCTTGCTCGAAGCCTGCCTATTGGCTTCACTGTCTTCTGCGAAATGGGTCAACCTTTTCCATACTGTCCTTGGAAAGCCCTCTATCCACTTACCGTCTTCAAGTTGAATTTGGCTCCTTTCTCTTTTTTTTTTACTTCTTTTTGCAGAATTCGTTAGACGTCGCCTAAGAGAATCTTGTGACGGCTAAAACTGATCCCACAGTTTATTAGAAATGAAATCACCTAACCGATCAAAACCGTTTTTGGTCACTATCTTATCAATACCATCTTCACGAAATTTGCTAATCGCAGGGGAGATGTATTTTGTAAAATGCCTGTCCGTATATCTAGGGCTATATCAGCGATTTTTGATCTAAGCGTTCGGATCTAGGCTCGGCTCACTCTCTCTCCGTGATGTCTAAAGGCATCGTAAGCAAATAACCGGGACCACCTAATTCTGTCGCCTATCTACTATACTTCCGGCCAAGCCTAACGAACTTATTCAGGGACTCCTCGAGTTCCTCTTGCCCCAATTCTAGTGACGATCGCTGGTCTTTTATCTGTTTAGTAAGATCAGAAGATGCTTTCCTGCACCATCTTTCTCCCGTGTGGTAGTCTAGGCCTACTGCCAGGAGGTAAAAGTTACGTAGTTCGAATCGTCGGTATAATGCAAGCAGGTCGGCTTCTTCTCCTCTGTTATATATCTCGAGAAATGCCGACGGCAACCCACCACCTTTTTGAGGAGACTTTCGGCGGATTTTACTGCAAAAATCCCGCGGATCTCTTATGCACTGCGTTAAAACTTCCTAAAGCCTAGGCGATATTGACACTAGGCTATTTTTGAAATTTGTATTATCCAGTTCAGGATTTTAGGATTTCCCTTTGACCTTTGTAGATTCGTTATTGTTGCTGGATTCGTCGACCTCGCTAGACTCGTCGATCTCGCTAGATTCGTCGCTCTCGCTGGATTCGTCACTCTTGCTAGATTCGTCACTCTTGCTGGATTCGTCACTCTTGCTAGATTCGTCACTCTTGCTAGATTCGTCACTCTTACTGGATTCGTCACTCTTGCTAGATTCGTCGCTTTTGCTGGATAAGCTACTAGAACCAGAGCCTTCGGATTACTGAGTTTTATCAATAGGGTCGGTTGGTGAGGCATGTGCTGAAAGGGATGGCAGGTGGTTCTCGGTGCTACTCTGAGTGGGACTCTCGTTATCATAAGACGTAACGTCCGCTGTCTCCTTTTGTTCTACTTGATGTCTGATGCTAAATAGTCTGTAAATTATGGACATTCTAGGTGGACAGAGATACGTGAAATAAATTATGCGGTCCTTAATAGAAAGTTCTGTCTCGATTTTGTCGAGGACACGATCAAGTTAAGCGAGAAGTCTATTAAACTCAGTATCAAGTTGCTTGAATTTGTCCACGATCATCTTTACAAGATTTCCAGGCATAAGAGAATATTCAAAAAAGAGATAAAGTGGAGGCCTACAGACTAGCTGTTATTTACACGGGCCCTACCTGCATGATGCCTGTTTTGAGGAGGCGCAGACTTGAGGACCAACCAGGGGAGCCCTTTTTAGCGCCGGTAAACGTGTTGTATAAGGGTTCCTATACTTGCTAATACGAGGGAGGCATTGAAGAAGAGATATATACGATCTCGTAGGCAGCCTAAAACAATACTATCTAGAGCAGCGCGGACCCCACCCAATTAAATCGACCGTCCTGGTTTGTGGTGGTTATGTATAGATACCAAGACACCGAGCGTTTCAAGAGGAACCAGACAGTCCAATGATTTACACTATAGCTTAGCTAAGAAGAGGGTCAGTGCGGCGGTCGCGCTATGTATTAACCGCACATAAGCCACATATAGTAACAACGAGCCAATCATATATTAGGAAGACTTTAGCTATTACTAAAATCCTTATGTTAGGAACCTGTTTGTTAACTCACGTGGGAATCTCGTAAGAATCCATCTATATGAGTGGATACTTGTCTTTCTGCTTCCTACCAGGCACCCGAAAGCTTTCGAAGTATAACTTTATTCGGCAAGACCTATATTTGATGTTTTTCAACCATTTAGTGCAAAGGGAACAAGGAGCAAATTGAGGCGAACTAGGGTTAACTACTCCTTAATAAAAAGAAAATCATTCATGTGACTGAGCAACAATCCCTACTAAAGCGTGGGGCCAATAGCTATCTGATTGGTGTATAAGATATTATCTATTTTTGTGTATAAAAAAAAGATTTACAGAGAGGGCAAAAGAATATCGCCAAATTGATTTAAGTAGCGAGCTATGAAAGTGATGTTTAGGATATGTTAAGGTATAAGGCTACTCTTATTGTTAATCTTTAAGCAAACCCACGGAGCATCTCAAAGGACGTTCCCACCCCCAACCTTAAAACTGTTTATGATTAGGGGGTATACGTCCCTCACCCCGCATATATATCACCAGGAGGAATTCTAGATACGAGACATGATTTGCGGGACATGGAGAAGGAAGTGGCTATGTGCAGATACCAAGAGACCGAGACCTCTAAGGCTGTTTTAGATAGAATGCTGTAGTCCAATAATATTGAGATTGAGTTCAGCCGAGCGTCATTTCGGGGTCAGTGCGGCGGTCGCGCGACTTGAGTGATTTCTCACCCTGATTCTCACCCTGTCTATAGCGCACTCACCCTTGTCACCCCCGGTCGCGCGACCGTAAAGCGGCGCTCACCCATTTCTCACCCGGGCGACACCCACCGAACTACTGACCGCGTTTAAGCCACACGCCGAATGGCTATGCTAGCCAATCATTTAGTCTAGCCTAGTGGGGAAATAACCGGTCGCCGCTTTGCAGTCGCGCGACCCGGGGTGAAAATGGTGAGTGCGCAATAGAAGGGGTGAGATCTAGCTAAGAATCACCCTAGGTCACGCGATCGCCGTTAGTGTTCCTCTAGTCGAATGGATATACGAAAATTGATTGGATAGAGTACCTACCAATGGAGGTTGTGAGAAGACCAACGAAATTTACTTCCTATACCCTACTGTACAAATTAGAAATAACCATCCACGTTTTCAATTTATTACTTATATCAATATATATAAATGCTATATTTGAATCAATATAAGCAACATACATTGGCCACAATCCACAACAGAAGCTCGTTGGGGAGGCAGGTCTCTGATATTCAACTGTGAGATATTGGCTTAGCAGTAGCCCCAGGAAAGGATCCTTGGTACAGACCATGGTTAGACGGTGGATTGGATCTAGGCTGCAAATGCAATGTAGATGAGGATGAGAGTAGATGAAGATGAGGTTTGGAAGTTTATTCGAAGAGGTGTGGAGGCGTTTATGTAGTCGCGTCAATGTCTTGACAACACTATTCAGGCTCGGCCAGAGAATCTTTGGGCCCTAGGAACGTCAAACTCCTGGGAAGCCCCATGTGGTTCCTAAGAGTGTGCCAATTGCCCCCGGGAGTTGAAATCTTTACGTCCCAAAGATTTATATCATACGTCACATCTAGAGCCTTCGGCGTTGAAGTGAATCGCAACCTGAATCGCAACCTAATGGAAACTTCGGAAGTTCAAAGTGGTCGATCGATATACTTATGGCCCCATCCCGTTCAGGACACTTTTACAGAGCTACTGCATGCAAGGGACTTCTTTATCCTGGAGGTTACTCCCCACTAGCGGTGTGCTATACCAAGGCCCCGGTCCCCCAAACGCAGTTTTAACTAAAGAAACCACACGGCAAGTTGCTTGGGGTGCAGAAATTACATAAGCCTAGCTTGTACAAATCTTGGTATGCAATGCTGTTCTATCTGTCGATGTGTTAACTTATCTTTCTCTTCTAAACGGGCCGTCAAGATTATTATAAAACATGTTTGCGGCACTATGTCGACTTGTGGACATGTGCTCTATAATTTTGTTTTATCACATTCCAAAGAAAACTTTATTTTCTTTGCTTCCTAGAGGTCACGGCTTGTTTTCATACCTTGAGCGTTACGTCCTGTTCCCATAGTCGAGCCAGGAAAAAGAATTATCATTTTTTCGCACGTTATTTCACCACGTTTTCAGCGATACAGTAAGAAAAGGCAGGGCAGGACACAGTACCAAGACAGATCGCCATATCCCCTTAACTCCCCATGGGGATCTAGGACCGTGCCTGGAAGGTTGTATCAGATTCTATAGAAACTTGTCGGGTGAATTTCCAGAGAGTAACTAGTTAGTTAACTAGTTATCCACTGTCTATGTGTAATTCCTTAGTCATGTTAGAAACTCCATAACTAACTAACCGGGTCGTCGAACCCAGCCACCTGGCGGTGTCCGGGTTCCCTGGCCTAATTACAACCCGGGCCTAATTACAAAATTTTCATTTCCAACCATGAATTCATTGAATTTAAATAGCATCGCCTTCTGTATCAACACAATAAAGATCATCTATCCAATCCTGGGCCTTTTCTGCACTAGTACCATCCTCAATTCCTCCTGAATTTTCAATGTCGCCGTCCTCAATTGCTTTTAAAATAGCTGCATCCCGCCATGATTTCTTAGATCGGTTGAACATCTGCAGCCTTTCTCGGTCGGCGCGGTCAGATATGTGTTTTTTACAGTCCTTAACTAGGCGAGGGCCTAGTTCAGGAAGTCTGCGCTTTGTTTTAGCAGTATTAGACTGTTTTTTCCGTCGTAAAATGCGAACATTGTCCTCCGCAAATTGAGCACCAACTTCGGCAAGAGCGAGTCCACCTGCTAAAATGCGAGCAAGACTATCCCGCACCTTCGGGGAAATTGTAGCATCATTCTATATATGCTTCACAACCTTATTGCTCGCTTTTCGTAGCTTTTGGACAGTTGTAGGTGGTGAATTTGGTAGTGAACTTGATAGTGGTGGGGGTGTAGTTCCGGCAATATCATGAACTATAAACCCGGGCATTTCAGGGAGATCATTGTCTACCAACTTCAATTTTTCAAGGCCTTTATCTGAATTAACAGGCCAAATTCCAGTTTCTCGGAACCCGTGTCGAATTGTCCGCTCGGTTAATGATCGTGTGCGCACATCATGAATACCCGCGAAGAAATTAGCTTTGTGTTTCGCATCACCACCCCAAAAGGCAGTCTCGTTGTTGTATTGTTTATAGTAATGCTTTAAGACCGAGAAAGGTGTATCATCGAGAGGTTGGCAACCATGTGTTGTATGTGGAATAAAGCAGTAAGGAATAATGCGTTTTGTCCAACAAAATTCAATAAAATCATAGGTCAAATGTGAACTATGATTATCCATTAAAAGAAGACGATATTCCCCCTTTTTAATGCGTAATGATGTAAATTCGTCGAACACCTGGAGCCATGCAAAACTAATGATTTCATCAGTCCAGCCATTTGGGGTTGGACAAATTGTGTAGTTGTCTGGTAAATTGGTGTCGATAAACCAACTTTCCATATGGAATTGTCCCTTCACTAAAAACCATGGCGGCATAACCCAACCCGTAGCTGAGACACATTCAATACCGGTAAGCGATTCGACTTGACCACCGGTACTATTATATGAATTGCCCCGGGCTGAAACAACCTTTTGAGCCTTCCCTTCGCCAATTTGAAACCCGGTTTCGTCGAAATTGTATAGGTTTCTCGGGCTAATGTTGTAGTTTTTAAGCGTAATTTGTAGACGATCGTACCAAGTGACAACATAGCCAGGATCTGCGGCCTGAAACCGTGCTTTCTCTATTGGTTTTTGGGTAAGATACTCAAAGCGTGGTGGTAGACGAGCAATAAAATCGTAAGCCCAGTTTTTTCCGAGCGTGCGGGCGGGGTCGTGACGTCTAATAATTTGTAGTGCAGCACACTGAATCTGGGCTGTAGATGGTGGAGAATAGGCCTGATCTAAGGTATCGATCCATAGAATTAAGGCCTTTTCTTGCTCTGTGTGTAGTGCTTTATTGGGCGCGGTGCGCTTGTTTCGAGGCTGGCGACCGTTAATGCGGCCTCTTAAGACGCCGTGCGAAATGTTGAATTGCTTAGCGATGGCTGAAACGTTTTTTTTGCTACTAGCATGGTATGCTAATAAGGCATTGGTAATGCGATCTTCTGAATCTGAATCCATAATATAAAGAATTGGAGGTGTAGTGAATTGTTGAAGAATGTGGAAATGAAAAATTTGTAATTAGGCCCGGGTTGTAATTAGGCCCGGGAACCCGGACACCGCCAGGTGGCTGGGTTCGACGACCCGATTAACTAGTTATAAATTGCCAGAACCAGGGGTAATAAAACACAGAGCATTCATACATTCTGATTGGCCTGGGCTAGGTAGCAAGTGAAAAAAGTAATTTACTCTGACTCATTGAAGATACATGGACAAGCGCAAGGCAGCGGAAACATTTCCTAATACGGACTAGTATGTTGAGGTGCGGCCTGGGAAAACAAAGAGAGATAGAGTGCAGGTAAAACTGATTTCGAATATCACTGTAAAAAAGCTAAAAAAAACTAGCACACTTTCAACCGGATTTGTAGGTCAACAACTCCCTTGCGTGCTAGATTTGTGTAATTAGAATGAGGTGCTGTGAGGCCTGGGCAGAGCGTATCCTCCTTGCCGAAGGCGTTTGAGTGATCAGAACATCAGCTCTCAAAATAAGCAAGGTGTTTCTCTGCTTATTACACCGTTTGTGCACAGAAATGACAAGTAAAAAATCGGAGTCGAAAGTTTTCAGAACATAGCTCGCTGCGTTGATCTCTGGATTTTCCAATCCGCCTCAGGTTTTATTTTGGGTGTTATGGCATCGAAACCAGGGAACTATTTATTGATAACGGGCGCCACCGGGTTTCTCGGGAAGGTTGTTCTGGAGGAAATCGTCCGCCAGGAATGTGGTCAAGTCTTTGTATTGATTCGACCAAGGGAAGGACGAGATGCGATTCGCAGGTTTCATGATGAGATCGCATCGTCCCCGTGTCTTGCCCTCGTTCGTCAGGGCTGGGAAGGATCGGTGGAAGTGGTCGCTGGTGATCTTACCCTTCCAGATCTCGGAATCGGCTCCAGATCTGTTCGGAGACTGTCCAGTCTTGTCACACACATCATTAACTGTGCTAGTGTGAAGGCATCTGACAGTGTCAGTCTATCCAACATAGGCACTCAAGATATCACCAACACTTTGAATCTTCTTGAACTAGCCAAAAAATGCAGTCTCCTACGACGTTTTGTACACACGTCCACGGCATACGTTGCGTCTCTGTCTCCCGGGCCTTTGTTTGAGATATTGCAACCACAGTCGAAGCCGGCGAGTACCTTGTACAACGAATTACTGGTCAGTGATGGGAACATCCTCGCAGGAAGCGGTTACCATAATATCCTGACGCTATCAAAAGCCTTGACAGAGAATTTGTTGCTGGAGAGACACGGTTCCGTTCCTCTTACAATAGTAAGGCCAAGCTTCATGTCCGCAAGTTGGCAACACCCTTTCCCTGGCTGGGTGGAGGAAGAGTCAGCATTTGCTGGCTTCATGATCGCATGCGCGTTAGGGCTGATTCAAACCACGGATAAGGATCCTCAGGCGATAGTCGACATCATTCCAGTGGACGAGGTTGCCAAGCGACTGATCGCAGAAGCCTTGGACACATATCGACCATGGGTTCCTTACAAGATCGTATATGCGGTGGCTTCCCTTTGTAAAGGTGTGCGTCTTGGGCGAGCTATCTCCCTTATAACCACACATTTCCAAGCATCTGGTGGTGGTTTGATTTGTCCACTGACAATCCGCTCGCCCAAAACTGGGTTGTCTACAATGGGCGAGACAATGGATGAAAAAATTAAAGACTGTCATTGGACAAAAGAGCGCATATCTCGCATTTTGTCACGCCTGGGAGATGTATCAGACTATCTGGGCTTTTCATACGATTTCCGGCCCTCTGTACCCTTGACGGGGTCATTCAGCATTGAGGACCATATGTTGACCTCGTGTGACTGGTCACGGAAATACCTCGTTTGTGATCTAACACAGGAGTGTGTCCGAGGCCAGCCCAATACTAAGTCACTCAATACTGTTACCCGGCAGCCCTCTCTCGGTAAAGACAGAAGCTTCGCATTTCGTACCGCATCATTGCTGTTTGACAAAGTGCTGCGAAAAATGTATCACGAAGTTACTTTCGACCTCAGCTCATTCCAGAGCGCCCTGGCGAAAGTTCCACAAGGGACTCACCTAGTCATCGTTCCAACCCATCGAAGCTACGTGGATTTCTTGATTTTGCCGTACATCTTCCTAACAAGGACTGACGTCGGCATCAAACCTCCACGTATTGCAGCAGCAGCGGAGTTTTCTAAGATTCCCGGGTTAGGGAGACTTCTTCCTCGACTGGGAGCCTTTTACCTTAAAAGAGGTCAAGGGAAGGCCGATCCTTAATTGTCTGAGCAGATCACAAGTCTTCTTGATGACCAGGAAGGTCTGATGTTTTTTATTGAAGGGAAAAGAAGTCGTTCAAGGCAGTTTCTGCCACCACGAAGAGGCATGCTTCGTTGTCTACAGGCAACCGGAGGAAACTTCACGGTATTGCCCGTAGCAATCAGTTATGACCGTGTGCCCGAAGAGGCCTCGATGGTCAAAGAGCTAAACGATGGCATAACCACTGTGATGAAGCTTCGCAAATTGGCACTCTGGCTGATGAAATTGTTTCGCCAAGAACCACAGCTGGGTCGCTTACATGTTTCCTGTGGCGAACCTCTTAGCCTCTGCGAAGGGACTGATGTGTTCTTTCTTAGCAAGAATATCATGAGGGAGCTCCAGAAAAATACCACGACCTCATCCTTTCATCTACAATGTTTCATTGACCTGAGTCCCACACCTGGGGTTGATTATCCATGGCTGCGTGAGGCAATAGTCGCTCGTGGAGGAATCGTTTTGGATAGCCCTTTGACATTAAGGGATGTGACACGGATTCAACCACTAGTACAAAAAACTTTCCAGTATCACTGGATTCATCTGTTTTTCAATGACTATCGAAGGCTCCTGTCTCAGAACGAGGCGATGTCACACTTTATGGAAGAAAATGATCACATCCGTGCGAAGTTCGACATGACCCTTCCAGAGGATGACAAAATTAGGAATTTCTTGGCCACTCTGTTCAGGCCCATTTGCATCGAGTATGTTAGAACAGCTGAGTCTTTACGCAAGCTTCGCTTATTTCACAAAACCTCTGTATCAGCTGGATTGATCTACTCAAGCCAAGATAGTGTCATAGCCCGATCAGCAATGCGGTGTCTTGAAGCTCGGGGACTGATCACAGAGGCGGCAACCGATAAGTCTGTATATCACATTTCCAGTAGCCTATCTGAATTAGACCTTTTCATACAGGCGTGCAATTTTGGCTGAGGGTCCATATGTTCCAGTTGCTACTGGCTAATGGCAACTCAATCCACGTCACTACTCGGAGGTTGCGTATTCGCTCCTGAAAATCAGTCTGTTGAATTCCTCGGGTCTTAGCAGCCCCATCTATGTAATACTCCATATAGCTCTGTATGACACTGTTTCAATAATTTCAATAATCAACTATTGGCCAGAAATAAATATTATTAGCTTCAACAGTATCACGCTATCTGATCTCCATATCCGAAATTCAACAAAATCTTCAGTCTCATGGAGCTGAGATTTAGGTTAACTTCAAAATAGATGGCGCATCTGTTTATGGAAGAGGATACGATAGGCCGCCTTGATGGCGCGTCGTCTAGCTTCGCAATCTTGTGCTACAGTTACCTTCTACTTACGATATACGGCGCGATCTGAAATGGAAGAAATTGGCATTTTCATGAAGCGACAGGTGAAAAGAGAGAGTTGGCTAATTTCCTACGGAAAGGCAAGCGGCTGTCTATCTACTGGCTAGAGAGGGCTGCTGAACAAAGAAGCTATAACATGCCTTCTATGGGTTTCCAGGCATGATGCTCACATGAAGTCACATTTTAGTTCCCACATCCGAATACGTTTCCTGCATCCATTGCTTGCTTGAACTGTAAATTGAGGGCTAAGATGTTGCTTGGAACAGCCTTGTGAAGAAATTTCTTCCTGAGATTTCCTATGCCATGGTGGTGAGACAGTGAGCCACCGCATCTCAAGATTTCTTCTCGTGCGGCCTCTTCGATTTTCGTGTAAATTGAAACAGGGTCCTCAACTTCGTCCAGATATAGTGCCACATAAAAGTACAATGTCACTCCACTTGGGTATATTTGGCTGATTCGACAGGTGATAAATGGATTGCCGGGCAACCGGCGAGATTGGTGTTCCTTGATTATCCGGGCTTTCACATTTTCGTATAACCCCAGGGCATTGCTCCATGTACAAGAAGTCTCGAATGACTCGGCGAACACCCAAGACTCATAACACAATCACGGATGTACGCAATGGCAAACGTCATTTCGTACCCACGCCTCCCATTTTCGGCTCCGGCCTCTAGCCCATGGAATTTCTTTGCTTTTTTATGAACGATTTGTTGCTGACGTTGCACATCCATCTTTTTGCCCTCGAAAACCAGAGTGCAGGCGGCCATTTCGTGGAGATTGAACCCCTTCACCAACCCCAGATATTTCGCTTCGAACCTGCTTTTTAGGCTGGCCCACAGGGTTGGGGTGGGCTTGAGAGCCTGGCTAAAGCGAAGTTGCATATTGTCAACCAGTCGGATGCTGGCTGGCTGTACACTCTCCTGGGACATTTCTTTCATAAATTGTATCCCGCTCTCGAAGCAGGGGAACACGAACGAACCGTAATATCGCACAGCGGGAAGAGGTCGGAGCTTGACGACCGCAGCCGTTATAATACAGGTGTTCCCTTCTGAGCCAAATATGAAGGTCTTCGGGTCGGAACCGACCGACTGGCGGGGGGCAATATTCGGTGTGAAGGCCAGAACCCCAGATGCTGAGACAGCTTCCACGTCCAACGTTATATCTTCAATATTGCCGTACTGATTCCTCTTCATGCCGCTGGCTTTAGTTGCGATCCACCCACCCAGGGTAGAGAATTCCATGCTATCCGGCTCATGGCCCAGACAAAGGCCATGGTGACCGAGAGCCGCTTCAATGTGACGGCCCACGGCCCCAGCTTCGATGCAAGCTAAGCGGTTTTCCGGATCAACCCACCGTATCTTGTCCATGCGGCTAATGTCAACCGATACAATCATCCGAGACTCGACCTCAGGGCATCGAAGTGCCTGGCTCACATTCGTGCCCCCGCCGTAGGGGATCAAACAGACATCACAGGTGACGGCCGATTCTATGAGCCGTTCTACTTGCCGAACACTTTCTGGAAACACGACCAAGTCAGGAACCCGGCCGATGCCAACGCCAAAATTGATGCTGTACACATCTTCCTGAGTGTGGCCATGTCCATGACGAAGTCTCTGCTGTGCGTCCCAACTCAACTGGCCGGAATGGAAAATTTCTTCAATAGTCTTGAGGAACGCCCGATTGACGATAGGCTTCATTATGGCGGGGGGTATTGGGACAGCCATGGCTTCCCGAGAGGTATGTCGACCCCGAAGACCGAGTTTGCCCAAGGGATGAAATGCGGCAGCACTTGGCCGCTGGAACTGTACCGCGAGCCAGTGATTTCCAAGTTGCCACCATCATTTATTTTGTACTTTGTGTCTGCAAATCCCCAGGTAGAGTGGTTGACTTCTTCTTCGTGATTCGAGCGGCTTTGTGCGCTTTTTGGGTACTGTTGCTGCTGCAAATGGCAGGGAAAAAAACCGAAGCTTGTCATCCTAGGAAAACTTTCGGAGACTGAACGTAGGCGAATTTGTCGTAGATTTCTACAATTCCTCGATTAGTCGTGAATGATGAACAAAAGGTCCAGCTAGCAGGACAGTCAATGCAAATTTAAATGCCCTCATTATCGGGTTGTTCCGGGCAACCATAATGTCACAATTATGCGTAAACCTCGCACAGGTCCTTGCATGACAGGTATTTTATTAAGATCTTGTGAATGAGGTGATTGGGTGAGTGCGCGCAAGGGAATGCGTAATCTGAGGACGAATCTCCCAAATGGACAAGATCGAGGTAAGGCATGGGTATCTCCCAGATCTCGCCAACCAGAAAGATCATGAATTAAGTAGCACGGTGTCAGACGTAGAGCTGAGGGATCACTTTGGAGGTTGATTCTCCATGAACGGACATAGGTGCCTAGGTGGCACCATCCAATCGCCTGCTGTACCCTGCTTCGACGTACAGAAGGCCAGCACCGAGGTGGTAGGCAATTTGATCCTCTATGTGCAAGGGTGCATGATTATAAATGCTATTTTACATCCGTTTCTAGGTTGGCACTCGCCCTCAGGAGCTTTGTTGATCCGACATTCCTACCAATCATGTAGGGTTACTTCAGCCTTAATTGACTAAGTGCCTCAAACCCTGCCCCGAGGGATTTAATTAACCTAACATTCGCACCTGCCCGCCTGACCCTGTTTTTAGTCATGACCAAACCTCCATATCGGTCACCAATCGGCGTGCTGAAATCATGGAAACTCCAGACTACGTGGATTGGTTCAGCAACCAGGTCATTTTTATCACCGGTGCAACCGGCTCACTTGGGGCATGTCTCTTGTACAAGCTGAGCGTGAAGCTTTCCACGCGAAAAATCTTCGTCCTTAGCCGGAGGTCACGAGAAAAATCGCTCCAGACATGGAAACGCACGATACCTCAACAACTTGATCAGGTGCTTGATACCAACAAGCTCCAATTTGTGATGGGAGATGTTACGAAGCCTAATCTCGGACTGTCGTCGAGCGACGTGGCCCTTCTCATCTCCGAGGTGACGGTGGTCCTCCATGCGGCTGGGAACATCAATCTCGCGAATGAAGCCTATGATGCGGTGATCGCCAATACTCTACCGGCCCTGGAAATGACAAAGATGGCCGAAAACTTACCAAAACTGACGAGATTCGTAATTCTCTCTTCAGCCTACGTCAATGCATTTTTGCCTGATGGGCCGGTGTTCGAGCGACTGTATGAGACAAAGGGCCAAATGGCCGACCCGTTTGCTGAACTTGACCTTGTGATGGCCCGTGAGAAGCTCCCAGTGATGGACGAATTTCCTTGGGGATATGCGTATGCCAAGCATCTTATGGAGCGATTATTGCTGTGGGACCCTCGGCGTAAATTTCCCATTCTGTTCATCCGGCCTACCCTAATCGGACCGGCAATCAATCAGCCATATCCGCTGTATGGTCCAGATCAGTCCATACCGTTGAACACGCTCGCTCGGTTATATGCCCAGAGCGGGGGTGGTACAAGGGTTTGGTACAGCCCAACCGGGCGAGACGCAGGATCGAACATCATCGATGAAATTCCGGTTGACCTTGTATCAAATATCCTCCTCCTTCACATGGTTGAGGGATCCACCGGGATTGTTCATGCCGGGGCTCAACTGTATAATTGCAGGAGCGCTAGAGACTTCACGGAGCTGTTGAGGTCGAATTTGTCCCCATCTTCACAATCCGACTTTCCCCATTTTGCTTTTACACATGATCGAAGCATCCCTCAATGTGCGCTGGCGGATTTCTATCACATAGGAAGTCGGGATTGGAATTTTGACTGTTCTCGATCAGAACGATGGAGGCATACCGATGGTCCACTAAGCTTATCATTGATCAACGAGGGGCCATTCATTTTGATCAGATGAGAATGAAGACGCTGATAGGACGTCTTGGCGAGTTACCTCTGGTATCCAAGATTTAATATTGTTGAATTTCTTCCCGTTGTTGCTCAATTGAATGTATGATATATTTCAGGAAATGGACGACACTAGGGGGACAGCTTCGGATCTGGAGCAAATATGATACATGTATGACACTCCCCCCATTAGATATCATTTATGTCTCCGTCATTTTACAAATCGTTCTTCTGTTGTACTCAATAATGCGAAGTGGAATTTCAACGCAAGAAGGATCAAGGAGTAGGCGGTTAGTGTACATGTCCCTAAGTCTGTATTTTTTTCCGACACTTTAGATGCTCTGGTTCGAACATTGCAACGACAAATGGACCACTAAATTCTCAGACTATCGAAAAAGCGCGAATGTCTCACGCTAATTCCAAGCAATCATCAATACATCCATACTTGGCAAACATCAGTTCAGATAGGTAACTTTCATGAGGTTTCCAAGGCTTCTGACGTGCTGCCTTAGGTAACTTATCCTCCGCTGTGACCACATACGTTGAAGTCAGGTTGAACAACCGTCTCGCTTTCATTTTGGATGTATCTTGCAACCTGGGCACAGCCATCGAAAGTTTTCTTTTCTTCAGGTATAGTAGCAGGCGACATGTGAACCGAGCCTTGGCATCTGCCCCCAGCGTCCAGGAGGCGTTGGCGTATCCCATTATATATGAGGCATTTGGGACATCTTGTAACATGACCCCATTCCACAAATACTTTTCGGGTATCCGACATTCCTCTCCGTCAACATACAAAGAGATCCCACCGGCCACCTTCAGACTCAGACCAGTCGCCGTGACGATGACATCTGCGTGCAATTTTTCCCCCGAAGTCAGAACGATTCCGTCATCTACGACGTCTTGGATCGTACCGGTCTTGACGTCTGCTCGCCCCGTGTGTAAGCTTTGAAAGAAATCTCCATCCGGACTAATGCACAGCCGCTGCTCCCAGGGGTTATACTTGGGCTCGAAATGCGGGTCATATGGAATATTTTTTGGCAATCGGGGAGTCACGGATTGACGCAAGAGCCAGCGCACAAGGCTGGGGGCCTTCTGGGAGACTAGAACAAACAGACGGGAAGTGGCGATCCACTTAACGCGGTTGAGCTGGTGGGCTGCGGTTTCTGGCAAGAGGCCGTCGAGGACCGTTCGCTTGTTCTTGTTCTTCATTGGCAGGATATAAGTCGGACTGCGTTGTAGCATTGTAACCAGGGCCGCCTTTTCGGCCATTTTGGGGAGCAAGGTCACCGCCGTAGCGCCGCTTCCAACGATAATCACGCGTTTTCCCTCATAGTCCAACTCGTCCGGCCAGAACTGAGGGTGGATGACAGGGCCCTTGAAGGAAGCCAACCTCGGGATAACTCCCTCCAAGGGCACGTCGTAATCGTAGTACCCTGTGCACAGGATAATGAACCGGGTCGAATAAAGGGTGTTCGTGCCCTCACAGTCTACCTTTAGCGTCCAGGCATAATCGGCTGTGGACCAGTGCGCGGATGTCAATCGGTGGTGGAACAAAATTCGTTGATCAATGGTGTGCTGGCTGGCGGCATCGCTCATATACTGCCGGATCGAATTTCCATCGGCGATTGGATGGTCTTGATTCCAGGGATACCAGGAGAATCCGAATGTAAATAGGTCAGAATCGGAGCGGACCCCAGGGTAGCGGAAGAGGTCCCATGTGCCTCTCAAAGCGCTGCGAGCTTCTAAAATGGCATAGGAGTGCCAAGGGTGCTCAGTTTGGAGGCGATATGCGGCGTTTATGCCAGCAATGCCCGCCCCCACGATGATCACGTCGAACTGGGTTTCAATGGGTATCTCGTTCTTCATATTCGTGGATTGCTTAAGCCTCGGCCAGGGCTCTGTTAGGTTAGAGGTGATCGAAAAGTGCTTCTCGGCTGGCCCTATTCTGCAGATGTAGGATGTAACTGTCAGAATTCGTTAGAGAAATGCCGCGTGACGCTCCTGTAGTTGACACGTACAGTGTCCCCCTTCTGTAGCAACAAAAGTAGAAAATTGAACGGAAGTATGATTCTCTAACAGTTAAAAAAAAAGTCAGTTCGAGATCAATTTTTCCTTACTTAGGATTTTAGACTGAAAGTGACCCCGTGGTCTTCTACAACTGGAACAACACTTCCGAGGTCAACAAAAAACATTGACCGTCGATTAAACCGATAAATGAAATTTATTAAAAGGTGATGTCAGAGGTCTAACTAGGACCACATAGCTCTTGTGGTAAATATTTATGGGATACTACCTACCCATGTCTCACAGTCTGCGCGATTTACTCCTCGCATGAACCACAAGTACCTGGCCCCTTTCTTATGTTTCCATTTATTCCAAGTTGCATTTAGTGTGAAAGCACTTTTTAGGAATATAGTCCCATTACCATTGAATTACCGTATCTTCGTTTGCGAGAACCCTTTGATGAAGGGCCATTTAGTACTAAATATTCAATATTGGACTCTAGTGGTATCCTGTTTTCCTGCTCCGGTAAATCAACTGACATTTACGTCAAGCAGAGACACCTTCGTCACCGTTCCAGCAATCGGCATCTTTTTTATCATTTCAACGTCTATTACTATCACTGAGGACCCCTAAATGCTCATAAGTTCGGCCTCTCGGGATGCTTATATATAAATCAAGATTTGATCTCGAAGAGGAGCAACTCGCGTTTGATAGGACCATCTCGGATAAGCAAGGTCCTGATCAAATACCTGTGTTACATACGTACTAAAATTGCGGGACTTGAATTCCACACTCCACTGTGAATTAATCACGGATTTTCAAAGACAACTTCGTCATTCGTGGGAGCTGTCTAAAATGGGAGGCTGCACATGTGTTTCAGACGAAAATGTGGTTTTTGGGGGTAGTGAGCTCCGGATACTCCCATTGCTAGCCACTGTAACATCCCTTGTGAGTAAGAACACCAATGGGATCTGCGCAAGCGCAGCTAAAAAGCAGCATATTTGGGAGTGCTAGCACCTTACTTCAAGATTGTTTCTCTCTCATTACAGGTATAGATCTTCGATCTCGAGTCTATCGGTCACAAAAATTCAAGAAAGGTAGACAGCTCCCACATAGCGAAGTAATCGGATTGGTACGTATGTGGATGCCCGCTGGTAGCCGAACCTATTCTACTTTATTAGCTTAGATTTTTTATTTGTTTCTCTTAGGACAAATCAATGAAATTCTTTTCTGAGAACAGAGACGGCGAGAAACACAAGAGATAAAGCCTTGACCTCAATCTCGATTCTGGTTTATGAAATATCACATCGACTTCGAATTCTTCTCGCCTAGACCTGGCTAGGAACCGCGGGTGAACCTCACGAACCTCAAGGAGGTTCACCCACCCGGAGGTTAAGGTTCCATGACCTAGAACCTCCGGGCGGTTCTATCTTGGACCGAACCTCATGGAGGTTACCCGCGGGTGAACCTGAGGTTCAACAAGCATGACAAATAGGTAAAAAACGTGACTTAGGGTCAACTACATAAATTATGTAGAAATAGGCTGTATTCTCTCGTAATTATAAAACAGAAGTTCATTAATGTATGCCCTTACAGGAGGATTTAGTGCATATCATGGATTCAGCTTCGAATTAGGGTTTCAACTTTCAATTATCAATGGTTTATATTATATCTATAGTGCAGTGTCTGGTTATAGTTCTGAAGAGTCAAGATTCAAGTAATCAAGCTATATACCCATCCAGTAGTCTCGACTTCTTCCGTATTCTACCGGATGCACGATGCTGCGTATCAGGGAAGTCAGGTAAGGGTGATGCCCTGTTCTTATCTGGTTCCGCAAATTCATCGGCATCAGAGTCTTCCTCATCGTCAGAATTAACTGCAGGCCGCTTTCCAGCGGCGACTGCTGAGAGTAGCGGTGCGTCTGGAGTTGCTTGCGTAATTAATATAGTAGCCGGTGTATCAAGACGTATCTCAATATCCTCCTCATTATCACTAATTGCCTCGAAAGCATGTGTCTAGACATCAAGTGCTTCGGCCGAAGCGGCTATCTCATAGTCCAAAAGATACTCTTAGAGAATCAGCCGCTGCTCCTCCTTAATATCGAATCTTGTTGTACACATGTATAACATAATATCGCGAACAGTCTCTAGGTTTAACGACCCCCGGCGGTAGTGGCATACATCCCGGGCAGAGTTAAAAAGACGCTCAACTCCGGCACCAGTCGCTGGAATTGACATAATATCACGGGCAATACTTACAAGAATAGGGAATTCCCTCTAATGATCTTTCCAGAAAATCCGAATAGATCCTTTGATAGTATCTAATTAGGTAAGGTTAGTTATATGATTCACAAAGTAGGCTTACTTACTTACCACTCTGGAGATATTTGGTGAGCTCGTCGTACTACGGAGCAGTTAATCGTTGTGAAGAATCGCCGTCAAGGGCCTTCTTAAGCTCCGATTCAGTTGTGAATAACTAGCTATCAGATTGTATCATCTCTAATGGTATACGTTGGCTATATCTCTTAAAAAAAGACTAAAGACTCTCGCGGTATTCCTTTCTATAGTCCTTTCCTGTCTTAGGATCTAGGTCCCAATCACTTGTTGAAAAGAACTCCATCTTGCTCGACGGCGCTAGGATCGTCCTAATTATATAGAGATTACCTTCGATACTATCTGTCTCGGCGTAGTATTTCTTTAGTTTCTCTTTCGCAGCATCGAGGGAGGAAAGCATTAACTATTTCTAGGGAACCTTCTTTCGACGAAGCTGACCTATCGATCTTTTAAGATGATCGAAGAGCTTATTGTAAATCCTAAAGACAAGGTGGATACTCGAGTCTTTAGTACGACAAACTAGCGTAGTGAGCGTGAAAAAGGGCTAAAGAATACAAAGCAGATAGTCAATCTGTCGCCACCCCTCTGCACTTAATGTAAAATAGTGTTGATCATAGTCGGAACAGAACTTGTTAAATGCGATATAAAGCCTCTTCGCCCGTCGGAGCATTAGAAATGTCGAATTCCACCGTGTACGAACATCCTGGATTAGAAGAAGCCGTAGCGTATTACTAGGCTAGGTATTCAGGAAGGCTTCCTTACGTTAAGGGCTTCCGTTAATATAAACCGCAAGACCTCGGACCTATTAGGAATCAGAATAGTTAGTATTATTAAATCATAATTTATGATTCATAAATAGAAGCATACCTTGTTCAGAGTATCGGCGATCTCATGTTTCTACTAGCGCGCACGAAGTAAACGTACACGATCATCAGACCATTCTATCTCGGCGTTATCATTCTTTAGCGAAGCCTTGATTTTACTAAGCAAATCAACTAGACTTAATTAAATAACATGCGCAAGGCAGGGCACTTGGACAATCGTAGATTCCGTCTCTATATGTAGCTTCTTGATTGAATCATTCACTGCTGCGATAAGTGTCTTATTGTTAGACGCATTATCAGTTGTTACCGCGAGCACTCGGTCAGCGATTTGGTGCTTTTGTAGGATCTGGAGAACTACGTCCCTAAGGTTCACGCTAGTATGAGATCTAGAAATTGGCTCAAACCCAAGTAGGACCTCACGATACTCCTATTCCTAGTCTAGGAAGTATCCTGTGATAGCCATAAATGCGTGCTTAAATGGGGATGTCTAGCAGTCAAGCGCAATCGACATTTTTGCACCAGATAGGAGCTGTTGTAGTGTCTCTTGTTAATACTCTGTAACGAAACCCCGGAGGCGGTCGCGAATCACCTTTCTTGATGGAACGCTCGGTGATATAGGTGCTAGCCGTGCGTAGGAAATAAGGTCATGGAATTCTTGGTGCTCGACGAAGAGGAAGGGTAAATGTGATATAGTGATTAGGTTTAGAATCTTCTGTTCCTATGTTTGTTGGGTAAAGAGAGGCGCTGGTCTTCTCTCGGCCTAAAATATAGTGAATTCATAATTAGTATTAATATTGAATATAGGCTATTTCGAACATACCGCGTCGCTGAGTAGTTGCTGGATATTACCCTTCTTCGTAATTCGCTGTCGACACCTTGGCCTATCAAGATGCTTCTACATCGATGAGTTTCTAGTATGATTTGTAGCTAGATACGTAAGAACTATACGGCACCGATTGCACATAACGCCAGGCTTTCCATCTTTAGTATGTGCAACTTGTTGAAACCCAGTCTAGCAGTCTGCGCGACGGCTAACCTCCTAGTTTAGCCGCTTTTTCTTGCCAAAATCGGTTTGAAGCCACTAGTTAACGAATTCCGCGGACATGTCGGTAGTAAAGACGATATACTCGTTAATACTATCTGGCTTGATTCGCGTAAGGGTATCTAGGGCCCGAGGTCCTGCGCGAGATCGGACTTGGTTATCTAGAAGGTCTAGAAGGTCTAGAACTGAATCAAACTAGCTTTCGCGTTGGGATAGCGTATCGTTAGGGGTAAGGTATTGTAGCGCGTCTAGAGGTAACCCTTCGAAGCTAGATGATGCGTAGCCGTAGCCGTCGGTAATCTGAGACATGATAACTTTAGTAAACCAGTGTAACTTAGCGAAGATAATAAGGAACTTACTAGTTATTCTGTAGAAGTTACGGGGTCTTCTTAGGGCATCTGTTTATCCCTATTCCATAATGCTCAAATTGATATATCAACTTTTATAAGCCCTATCTATATCTGATTCGCTAGTATAGTGGATCACTATAGAAACGAACCTCAATAAACCTCAACTAACCTCAACGAACCTCAATGGACCTCATCGAACCTCAACGAATCTCAACGAACCTCAACGAGAACCTTAATATAGGAAAAATAGAATATCTAAGTCTAACAATTAGGACATTTGAACCGGATTCACGGTATATCTAGATCAATTAATCTGAATTCTAAAAGACAAAGTGATAGAAGAGGATATAACGGTTTGAATGATATTAAAATAAGGGGAATTGAACTGCATCTTTATAGTTTTCTTGAAGAACAGTAGTTCTACTAATAAAGATACACATACTTTACAATGTCTGCGATATATATATCCACAACTTTACATGCCATTTTATCGATGACCTCTATTGACAACCCACCACGTCGATATCATCGAATATTACCTATAATTTGTAGGTGACCACGCCTCCTATTTACTTTTCAATGAATATATCTTTATAATTCATTATGTTGACAAAGTATTCAGTGGAAAGTCTATTGGTTAACGAAACAGCTGTAAAAAACAGAGATGAATCATCAATTTTATCCAGCCAAAAGAGGAAAGGCGTCAAGAAATTATGTATATGCAGGTTCATGCGGGTCGATGGAGGTTGAACCTCAAAGAACCTCTGGAGGTTAATGGGCGGTTGGAGGTTAGTAAGGTTGGAACCTCACCTCAAGAGGTGAGGTTCGAGGTTCCGGGGTAGGGACCCATGCGGAGGTTCAAAGCCAGGTCTATTCTCGCCTTTAGTTTTTCTGTCATGGCGAATTCAACCTGCCTATCCGTAAAGCGAGCGATCCCGCTAACAACAAGGTTATGTTCTAATTCAACTAGCTCAGAACCGATGGTCTTGGAAGGTCCCAATAACAGCGTGGAGCATCCACCTGAGTACTACCCCCTAGCTTCTGATTGTCAAGAAAGAGTAAGGCTTTCATTACAAGAAAGGATCTTGTGTAACATTCCAGGAATCCAGTTCACTGCACAGGTACAGAATAATGTCAAATATACAATATACATAACTACGCAAGGAGCAAGATATTGGCAGACTGGAGATCGACCGATCACCTCACCACCAGTAATCTACTTTAACTATGGAGGTTTCTTATACCTTTCTTTTCCCTGCACCTATTAATTGTTATTTCCTGGAAGTCGTGATTGCTCAGCATGTGGGAGTACTACGAGAACAAGTCGGTTCTGGTGACAGGCGGATCTGGGTTTCTAGGTACAGCCATCGTCCATCGCGTACTCACGACCACTTCAGTGTCGTGTATCTACTTGATATGTAGAGGAGGTATTGAGTAAGTCTATGGAAATCAAATTATTCATAAATAAAGCATCCTAACAGTATAACTCCTAGGAAACTCCAAGCCAGGTGGAGACAATGGTTACCTCATGGGGTAGTAGATAAACTTTGTGATCCAAATCGCCTGATTGTGTTCGATGGTGACATTCTACTCCCCGATCTGGGGCTCTCAATAGTCGAATTGGACACCGTACGAAACAATGCTAGCATCGTGATTCATACGGCATCCTCTATCAATCTTGTACAGCCATTACACCGCTTGTCAAATTCGATCATCGAAGCCACTGAAATGATCGCAGAGTTAGCTCTTACATTCAAAACACTTGAACGCTTCGTCTATGTATCTACCGCCTATGCAAACACTCACATCTATACTCGGAGTCCAGAATGGGACTCAAAAATCGACGAGGAGATATATGAGCTTTCAACAAACCAAAGCAGCCCTCTTGATGAGTTCGATGAAGTGCGCAAAAATGGAACAAGCCTGGCATATGAAGCGGAAAACTTTCCCTGGGCCTATGCCTATTGCAAACACCTGGCAGAAAGGTTGCTGGTACACCTATTCGGTGATCGTGCTGCAAAAGAAAAGATCCTCATTATTCGTCCGTCCGTCATCGGCCCTTCTCAGCAGCTCCCATTTCCAGGTTATGTCATGCCTATGTCGTCCCCATGCACAATGCTTGCCGCAGCATTAGCCTTGGCCCCACATTGGCATATACGGATTGCAACAAGTATGGAGAATCCATCCCTGGATGCTCATTACGATGAAGTCCCTGTTGATGTGGTTGCAGACCGCCTTCTTTGTCATCTTGCTATTGGATCGCACGGCTGTGTTCATGCAGTTAGCGGGGTCAGGTCTCGAATGAGACTAGAGGCATTCCGGCAATCACTGACAAAGCTTCGTCGGATTCCCTGGGATCTGCGGCCTGTGTGGGTAGCAGGTGATTGGAAATCTCCGGACCAACATCCAATAAGTCGACTGTATGGAATTTTGGGAACTTCATTCGCCTTCTCGGAGGACAGAACAATAGCCATGCGCCAGGCACTTTCTGAGAAGGAGTGTTTGGATCTGCAATTGTTTACAGAAATTGATATGAGCGATCATCTCCTGACTAGGACTGAGCACATTCGTTATGCTATGGATCAATTTGCTCGCAAGAGTGTGCTGGCATGGCTGATAGTCTGGCTCTTTTATTCCAACTATGGTAAAGCCAACTGTTCTGCTCAGCTGTGATGTGATATACTTAGATCTGCAGCCCGTTATCATCAGTTTACTCCCACAACGGTGCACGCTGTAGGCACTATCCGGTAGCAAACGAGTAATTATGCCAGGCTAGATATTTGAGCTTGTAATTCCCTAATAGGATATCAAGTACATACGACCATAGGATATGGTGTAGTGGCTTACCTTTTCGTCGCTCACACGACAACCGATGTTTCGATTCCCCCTATCAGAGTGTCTTTTGCCGGTAGCGCAGTATAAGTGGTAAGCAGCCCGAGGCAACCTATTGATTGACCAATTGGTCATTTTTCAATCTGCAGGCATTAGGCTCGAATCTCAACTCTAGCATAACAATAATTGCCTTTGCGTCATTATCGGGAGACACAACAATCCGGGGTAGTGGAGTACCCCAGTCGTTTCGCAGGTTGGAGTGGAGATAATCACAGGCGCTATCGGTGAGGCTCTAAGTTCACCATTTAGGAAGCTTAGAACAATCTTTATCGATCGGATACATAAATTACTACATAGTTGCTATAGCTCGTCGTGAGGAACGAGGATAAAATTATTCCGCTACACAAATAAGGGATCTGCCGAGAGGGCCACTTATGGCCGCCAACTTGCCGATACTACGAATACTAGCATAAAACTACGAGACGGTGCCCGGCAGGCCACAATCGGCCGCCCAATCACATAAGCCGATCCACCCTATGTATTAACGGACTACGAACATGACCGTGACTCCCTGTCAACTAATAAAATACACTAAATATGCCTTACTAAGTAAGGCGTGCACCTTTTTGGTAAAGTGGCAAAATTCATGTGATTTCTGAGTGCGACACTCCGGAAATAACTCCCAGGGAGTATACGCAGGAATATACGGTGACTCCAGAATATATTCCCCAGCTGTAGATCTGGAGTAGGAACTCGAAGGATATATAAGGACAGTCATTAGCACATATGTATTTTGTTCTTCGCGTTTAATTTACACATTGTTACTTAGAACCTACCAGTTCTAGCTTCACCACTTGCTTCGTATCCAAGACAACCCACCTAACCAGGAGAGGTATCCTGAGTCTCTAAGGTCTTACTTAGTTTCTCAGTATAGCTTGACTACGCGCATTACCTGGCGCTGCCCAACAAGAGTCCAGCCTATAGACCCGAGCCCGTGTAAAGCCTTACGACGGTAACGGTAGGGTTGCGACTGGAACTTGAAGACGAGCCTCGACGTACGTAAACAGACCTACAAGCGATACACACTGTGACCAGCTAGCTATGCGCAACAGGTGAGAAAGCCGTGATTGCTAATATTTTCCCATTCAAATAGGGTAAGACGGGGGGACATCTATTTTTAGAATTCCCTACATATTTACTCTAGTAGTTTCATCTTCTGTTTTTCCAATTACGGTTACGGATGTTGGACTTCCACATATATATTACTAGAAGAATGGAGGTCATCGCTTCCGTCGACTATACCCACCATACGCTGGACTATAGGATGGCCTCCTGATGAAAATGCAGCCGTACTGCAGCGGAATGTCATCCCATAAACGCCTCGATTCTTCACATGCCTAGAGGCTAGCTCTCACCACAAAAGTTGGATTTTGAGGGACACTCGCACTTATATCCCCCCTAACTTACTAGGTGTCTTAACATATCCTGTCTCCCCCAAGCGTATAATAACATCCATTGGTATCCTGTCAGATCTCTCCGTTCTACCACATCATATAGTCCTTCACTTCACTGACTGAAATATCTGTTGAAGTCGACAACACTCAAGCTAAGTACCTGGTCTTTGAGACTGCTGCTGGGCAGCAAATTGTCTATATTTGGGCGCAGAGTGTATTCTAGCACGCTTACCATAGGTCATGAGTAGAGCCGGCATGATCATAGTAACGAGAGAAAGAACTCCGATGAGGATGAATGTGTTCTCGATGCCCATCCCATCGAGCCAGCTGGTCAATGCAAACTTAACAATCATTCCGATGCCGTTGCGGATAAAGACCACGGAGATTAGGGCATCATTGATGATCTGATTTTTTTAGATAGGCATCATGTCATTCTAAGACTTGTCATGAACTTACCAGTGGATAAGTGTCTGTCAGGTATGTTAGAGCGACATCTCCAGTGATCATAAATCCAAAGCCGAAAATTGCATTGCCAACGGCAAGGATAATCCAGTGCCAACCCTATGACGAGGTTATAATGATGTTGATTGTTTGAACGAAAGAAAATACAGAACATACTTGAGCAAGTCCAATACCAAAAACCCAGGAGCCAATAGAGTTACATAGGATGGCAGGGAAGAGCAGCCACAGACGCATTTCTGGCTCGAAGAGACCCTTGTTTTGGCGAGCTTGGACCATAATAAGCCAGTCGCTCAAAAAGGCTATGGTGACTCCAGCGAGGACAACACCAATGAAACCTCCGATATTGAATAGACCAATTTGATTTGGTTCGAAACTGTAAGGTGCTTTGATCAAATTTTGGGTTCCAGCCGCTACGGTAGCAGAGAACCATGCCTGGATTATGCCATATTGGAGCGCCGTGAATGCAACAGCGGGAAACAGAAAAGGGGCAATCAGAGGCCGATAGAAGTTCTGGAGCATCGGGCCGTCGGTCTTCGTCACCAGTGCAAGGCGTTGAAGATATGTTTTGCGAGAGTAGTAAGTCTGGGATTCCATATGTGGGTCAGAGGATATCTCTCCACTATCAGATTTTGATAACGCGCCAACGGCATCTGCACGTTGGTTATTCCCAATCGGCCCCGATCGCGGAACGTACTTGGATTCCTCAAAAAAAAATAGAACCAGCAGCAGATTGGCACCCAGAAAGATGGCGGTTATCCACCACATCCATCGCCATTGCATATTTACTATAATATATCCCGCAGCGATGGGGCCACCCAGTGTGCCCAGGGTCTGCATGAGAATGAAGATACCGTTCATGCGAGCGTGCTGATGCAGGAAGAACAGATCGACAATGGTAATCATCACGATGGCTTCACAAGTCGAGCCTGCTAGACCAGATAGCAACCCAATGACAATCATTTCACCTTCGGACTTGAATTTCGCGTACCAAATTGCAGATGCAAACTCAAGCACTGCACTTATAAGGTAAACAGGCCGTCGACCAAATTTATGCACACAGGGAATGAAGATAAGAGCGCCTATCGCGAGACCTGCGTATGAGGCGCCGCTGGCTTTATTGAAGGCCTTCATGTACAAGTGCAGGTAATCTTCGTATCTCCTGTTTGCGACGGTACCGACATCGAGCAGAACAAAAGTAAATACGACGTATGAACAAGTGAGTCCGAAGTTCACTGCTTTTCTCAGGGTAGACCAGTTCTAAATTCTATTTAGTCGAAGATAGTTTGCAGTCAAGGATGGTTATGCCCTACCAATGGGTCCTCGGGGTCAGCTGAAGGTGCAGGATTGAGAACAAGTTCTTTCTTCTCGTTTCTACTGCTGTTATCTGTATCAAAGTTAGATTTTGCAGGAGTTAATAATTTTATGAGGGACATACGGTCTTCTAACAAATGAGTCCCTGGCGGAAAGTTTTTATAGTCGTCGGCGGACATTGTGGGCACCTGGGTAGTAGGGGGCTGTAGAGAAAGTTTTCAAGATTCCATACCTAAGCCTATTCATCGACAGTTGGATATATCTTGCTTTAATAAAGCCGACGTATCAATGGATCGGCGTTCATTGGTAATCGATTCATCCAATCAATTAACATGTTCATCACTAGGCAAATCCTGCAACGTCATGGTACTTCCATCATGCAAAGAATCCGGGCGGGGGGCCTTGACTTAGTTCTTGGGGCCAGATATGCGATGACCTGGAAGAGGAAGATGAGTTGTACGAGCTATAAAGTACATACTCAAATGTTGTCAAAAATAAATCACTACATACCTAACACTTGTCACTAGGTACTCATGGACGTCATAATTGGAAAGATTGCGACTCTGAGTGCACATGTGAAGAAGAAATCAGCGATGTGAGGAATGAATCACGCATTAGGGCTTGCGTCAGAGGCTGTGAATAATATAGTAGAAGTGATTCCAAAGGGTGCCTTTTTGACCCCGCCACGTCACCACCCGACCGACCCCTTTAGGCTTTGAGTGTGCACTTGCATTATAGTTGCATAGGCTTCCCGGCGCTACAACTCGATTACCACGTTAGGCTAAGCCCCTGTGGGGCGATCGATGATCAGCAAGATAATCTTAACCAGATTTAGTAGGCCACTTGTAGCCTTGGAAGAAGCTAAGGCCTGGGCTTAGATGACTATAGATGAAATCACATATACCGGAATTGCCTTCAGACCTAGGAGTGGCTAATAGAAGGAAAGCTGGTCTGAGTCCACGATTGTTAATTCTTTGTGTTCTACCGGCGAAATAGATCTTCTGTTTTCGCAGCTGCGACGCTACCTTATCCCCCGCTAGGTACACTCTCTATTACGTAGTGCGAATACATCTGCTGCAGTCTGGGCCCTCTCTTACCTAGGTATCTCCCTAGCCCGGTTGATCTGTGTGTTCGCTGTCCAGTACACTCTGTGTGCGATTGCCGTATGCCCTCCCCTCTTCAGGGGGTAAATGACGTCCTTCTTGTCGGCCGATAGATTGGGCTTTTTGCCTCCTATGAGCCTTGAACGTCGTAAGTTATCTTCTAAAAGATACCCTCAAGCGCTGCTCTCTTATTCACGCAATCAGTTAGGAGTTTGAAGTAGATTGAGACATGCGGTTTACAAAGTCCAAAGCTTGGCTAGATGAATAATATACAGTTTAAACGTTGTCAAGTGATAAATCCACATCGTAGACTCTGGAAAGGCGGGGTTTCCAATTAATCTATTCTTTCCTCCTGATCAATTTTGACAATGTCCTCGGCAAGCTGGAGCGCCATTGTAATGCCTGCACTTTCACTGATACCCTTAAGTTGTTTGACGACCCATCGGCGGTTCTGATAGTTGATAGCAGGAGACTTTCCGACCGTGTAAAGGTTCCATATTAGCAGGTACCCGCCCGACACAGTCGGCTCTTGGGGTTTATTGGCATTGGGTAGAGACACAAGCCCTAAACCTTGCGGAACACTGGCCAATATTTCCATCCCTCGTCTTGACATGATCTCAATCGCCCCGTGTCGCTTTTTTTCGAGATTCAGCTGAGACCCATCAGAATAAGGCGAATCGTTTTCAAGAACTTTGGAAATGAGCCAGCATATAATCTCGCAAACGATGATCTCAACCATTCTCGAGTTATTCCAAAGCCTTATCGCCCAAGATGTCTTGTATAGGTGGTATCGACCATTATATGAAATGAATCTCGCGCTCTCACACGATTCCTGGATGATCTTGTACGACTCCTGCTTAGCGAGGATATCAAGAACATATTCGAAGTCGTCCTCAATCGCAATAGATGCTTTTAGAAAGTCAGGCCAAGACTGAGCGCAATGGATGCCATTATTTTTCCTTGCGGCCAGCGCAAAGACAGTCGCACACCGGGTGGCAAGTACCCCGAGTGCCCAGAATGCATCCGAAGGGTCGATATATTTGGCAGCCTCTTCCTGTAGCTCGCGGATATCATTTGGAAAAGGCTGAACGCTATGTATACAGGCAGCCGTCAAATCTGCGCGCACCTGGTTGAACATCAAGATGGCATTCCTACGGGCAAATTGAGATTTACCTCGAGCAACTACCAGTGTTGCAGCCCCCTTGACATGCCGAACCCACGACTCAAAATTTGAGACATGCTCGAAGACTCCAAGCGAAATCACTGACATCAAGGTGCTATCTTTGAGTGACTCGACAGGGGATGACAATGCATCATTGACATGCTGGATCGCCTCAGAGTATTTGGCACGTGCCTGGCAAACAAGCTCAGGCCGACAAGCTGCTAACGCGACAAGACCCACCGCCGCCATACTGGCCAGGAGAGTCGGGTGCTCAGCATCGGCAGAGTAAGCAGTGGGGATATAGTTCAGAAAGCCACGTGAAGGGTATTTACCACCCACAACAAAGTCTTGGAGGAAATAGTTTACGCCTAGATCGCCAAGATTGGTACTCGGGCCGGGGGTCGGTATGGTCAAAGCGTTAATCTCGGTTGCGGCTCCATTAATCTTCAAACGCTTCTTCTCTGAAACCTGCCTGGAACGTTTGACTGTGTCGCTTGTCTGGTCACGAAAAACCAATTCCCATTCATCACGGTACCCAGAGCAAGTTTCGCGCGTGCGAACGCATTGACCACACTGGGGAACCTGCTTGTCGCACTGTGTCGCCGTGTCAATGTTGATGCTATCATCGCTTCAATGGGGCTGAAGGACTTACTCTTCGCTTCACAACTCGGCAATTGCCGCAGCTTCTGGATGTTCGTGCGCGGGGCGGACTAAATGTTGACATATTGAAATATGCGTCGACACAATGGTCGGACTGAAGAATGAGACAATGAAGAGAAAAGGAGGCTGTAATTTGTATGCAATAACAAGGCTTATCAAGCTCAAGATAGCTGAATTTGACTTGGGAATAAGCTACTGTACACAGCCTTATTGAATGTCTCTTGAACGTAAATGGGTGCTCCCGCTCTTGGCGGCCTCGGGAGGTTTCTGTGGAGCTGAGGGAGAGAAAGTGGGGAAAGGCTGAAATGGTTCCTTCAGCCGCCACCCACGAGGCTGCGAAGCGGCCTAATGACGAGGTACTAAATATGAAGATCTGCGCTTTTCAACCAAAAAGGGAATGCTGGAAGCACCGCACCTTGACCACGGCCACTCAAGGCTGATATTTTGGTAGGATGATTGGCTGTCAACCCTTGACAACCCACCCATCCACGCTAATCCTTTTTAGGTAATTTAGATGTTGGTCCAATCGATTCGCAAATTTGAAGATTTAACGATGCCAACAACGCCAACGACGACAAGGAAAACGCCAAACATGCATTTGGTAAATTAGCCTACAGCACACTCACATCACCTACGGGCGCCACCAGTCTAAAAGTACAATATGTGTCGGGATGAAGAAATACAAAAAGGGTCCAGTTGGCCGTCTAAACATTGGAAACAGCACACAACCAATTCTTTCCATACTACTTTCCAGCCATACTCCTCCATCCCCTCACACGTTTTATTCTTACTCTACTACTTTATTCTTACTCTACTACGATTTATCAACACCATGGGTGATGTTACATATAAAGATGGAATCGCCATTCTCCAACTCGGCATTTTTCCTTTCATTCTTGTCGCTTCCATTTTCATCTGGAAACGGACAGGCTGGAGAACCGGCGCCAAGATCTGGCGATACCCCTTCACACTTTCCCTCATTCGACTGGCTGGCAGTATTGCCAGTTTGATTTCAATTAACAATAATTCGAAAAATGTCGAAATTGCCGTTTTTGTGTGCGAATTGATTGGCATTGCACCTCTTTTACTAGCTTATGTCGGAATGCTAAGATTAATGTGAGTTGTTGACAGTGTAGCTCTGCAACATGACGAGAGTGGTCTAACATATGTCTATCTAGTGATTTGGAAAACCACATTCCTCCTCGTCCTCTCGCTGTGGTGACTCTTATGGGCATCATCGGCCTAATCCTTGGTATAGTCGGAGTCAGCAAGGCCCAGTCAACCATTCCAGGAACACTCACCAAAGCAGCCATGGGCCTCTTCTTGGCTGTATATGTTATCACCATGGTTCTGACTGCTTGGTTATTCCAATCATATTCTGTGGCAATGCTGAGTTATCAGAAAAAGCTGTTTCTTGCTATTGCCTTGTCTGCTCCCTTCCTGTTGGTTCGATTGATATACTCAGCCCTAGGCGATTACACCTCTTCTGTGCATTTCTCAATGCAATCACTAATCGAAAATAACCACACCAGTGTCACTGTCTACCTGTGCATGTCTGTTCTGGAAGAGATTATCTCCATGGTCATCGCTATGGTCTTTGGCGTCTTGGCTGTTCTGTCGTCGGACTTTGTGAAGCCTAATCCGGAAGGGGAGGTTGAAATGAATCGGAAGTAGCAATCTTATAGTGTGTGAGCTATCGGACTTGAGAGGCTGCAATCGATTGGCAGGAGATTATCGACCAAAGAAACGAACAATCTTTGATCATTGCGGGTTATAAAAGAGAATGAGGACAGAAGTAAAGAAGTTGATCTGCGTTGGACAAAAGTGGTGCCCGGCAGTGAGCACGTTGCCAAAGGTCATGTGATAGCTTTTCGAAGTATTATTTGCTTATTTCATGTTTTTTTCTTTTCTAATCTTTGCGATTATCTGTTATTTTTAGCGTGTATGTTTGAAACAATTTGCGCCTCCGGGCGAGCGCTCCCACCATACGTTATCTTTAAGGCAAAAACTTTATAGTACGATGGTTCGACGACCTTCTTAAATATTGGGCTCTTAACGTTAGTCCAAATGGCTAGACGAGTAACGAAGTTGGCGTTGATTAGCTTTAAAAACACTTTATTCCGCATATAAAAAGTCAGATAAAAGGGAAACATTGTCTTTTGGTCCTTAATAGCCACGACAGTCATCTTACAGCGACATTCGATAAGATTTGCTAGGAAAACAACATTATACTAATATGTATGCCTCCGCATGCCTCTTATCTTTTACAGCCTCTTGATATTGGTTGTTTTGCTGTGTTAAAGCGCTCTTACGGAAGGCGGGTTATAGAATATACCCGATTAGGCATCGATTCTATCGAGAAAGATGACTTCCTTAATATCTTTCCAGCGGCTCGTAACGATTCATTCAAAGAGTCTATCGTTCAAAGTGCCTTCGCAGCTACTGGTTTAGTGCTATTAGATCCTGATCGGGTACTATCAAAACTCAATATTCGCCTTCAATCTCCGCCTCTACCAGATCGACCAGTCTCACAAGGTTCAAGGTTCAACATCAGGTAGTAATATCTCTACTAGTATCCTTCGGACGACTAAGCAGCTAGAAAAGCGCAAATCTAGGCTTAATTCTGGTCTAAGTTCAGCTGCTGATAAGATATCTTCGCCTACAAAACGTGATCTTCAACAGTTCTACGATGTGTCGGTTAAGCTGGTTCACGAGCACATCTTAATGCAAGATGAGACCAAGCGTTTACGGGAGGGAAATAGAAAGCAAACGAAAAAGAGGGAGAGATCAAAGAAGCAGATACCTAATATGGGTAGTTTAACAGAGCGTCTTGACACCACCCACACCACCGCGATCTCATCGGAGCCAAATGAGGCGTCTGTATCTGAAGCTGTGAACAAATTCATTCAACAGAAGGTTCAGTATCTGGTTAAAGTTAAAAGATATAGCAATGAAAGTCGTGATACAATCTGCCGTCACTTGTTCTCAAACTCACAAGGCACTTTCCTGTCGGTAGCCTTGGTTTGTGAAGAGCTTGCTAAAAAACCACGCTGGCATGCACTTAAGAAGCTAGAGGCATTTGTGCGACGACTCAAAGATCTGTCATGAAGAAAGCTACTTATCAGGGGTCTAGCGAGGTAAAGTGTCATAGAACCCTAATTTAGGCCTGGCGATCGGTGGTATCTCGATTCAAAAACAGTGTCGCAAAGGATGTCCAAAAGCGTGTTGCAAAGGCTTAAAGATTTATTGCCACGGTTCTGTCACAATGTATCAAAAGACGTGTGGATATTTAAATCCGGAGATGTAGTACATAAAGTCGCAGCCTTTCACTATACCTTGTGTCCAGAGACACTATATAGTATACATTTTTTATTCTTCTTCAGCTAATTATAAGTTTCACAGAAATGGTCCTCTCTATTTTCCTACTTCTTGCCAGCGTTTATATAGGCGTTGCCTTGGGGGGCGCTCTCGAAGTTATTGATTATGATCGTCAATGCTTGATATTGTCTGATGATAACCATGGCTGCACGGGACACTCGGCATCTTTTGGCTTCCTTGATGGAGATAGCTGTGCAGGTGAGTAGTAATTCTACTGAGACACTACTGGTATTAACAAAGCCTTAGATATAAGCAAGGTTACACATGGTACTCGAGAAGACTACTCTAAATTAATTGTGGATGCTTGTGGCACAGAAAACAACCAGCCTGCTGCCTGGATAGAGGTAAACCATAATGGGGTTGTAAAAATTTTCAACCAAAATGGAGACGAGACAGGATGTATATTGGAGAATGGATTGAAGGTTGGCAGCTCATGTATTGCTTCCACCTTACCTTCATTAGCATCTTATTTATTGCCGTTCTCTTCAACTACCTTGTCTTCATCTACATCTCCTTCATCTACATCATCTTCATCTACATCATCTTTATCTACATCGTCTTCATCTACATCGTCTTCATCATTCCCGCCAGCGATATCTGTCTCTATCCCTAGCTGCGCAAGGTCCGAATAAGAGAATCGCTAGGACTTTTCCCTCCGAGATTCATGGCAAATGAAGCTTATTTCCTCCCTGTTAGATTGAACTATCTGTCTCTGTCTGCCTTCCTACTATAGTCGCTCAATTAGAACAGGGGTACCTGACTCTGAAATGGGCGGAGGAAAATTCCATAGCAGATAGATCTCTTTGGGTATGGTTTTTCCCTTACGGGTTTCCCACATCACTAGCGTTAATGCGAAAGAGACTATCTTATGTTTCGTTGCTTTAAATGTATATGTACTTGATTATAGTAGACTATCAATCATTTCACTAGTTTTATTTTTAGATGATGCTCTGATCAAAGTCATTAAATGGGCGTACAGTATTAATTAATTTCATGCACGAAAGGCAGTGACCATGCTAGGTTTATCCGAAGTACGATTATGGAGCTGTTCAGAATGTTGGGTAATGTAGTGGAGTAGCTTATACGCCTAGCGGCCTATGCTATCTATATAGTGTCTCACCAAGTCTGACTGACTTCTATAGTCTTTGGACAAGCGCTTACCCTATTAGCAAGGACCACACGGACCAGAATCAAAGTTTTGAGAACCTGATTTAATCAGTAGTGCGATCTGTAGTCAAAATTGTAGTAGAACACCCCTTTATTACAGCTTATATAGCGATACGTGCTTTTTGAACCTCCGTGGGCAGATGTTGATATAGCAGTAATAGCATCAGTTGACAACGGCGCGTTAAAATCCACGAAATGTCGAAAAGGCTAGATAACTTCACCTCAACATAGGTCTCGTCTATTCATTTCCATATGTTATCTCATAACATATGGATGGCCGGCGCTTCCAATCACGCATTAGAAACTTCCGGCATATCGACGCCATGTAGGCCGCGGTGGCGCCCAATAAGTACCCCATTTAAGTTCGAAAAGTTCGAAGGATCATTCTGATAAGGGCTCATTGTTATGTCTTCTAGTCTTTCGTTTTTCCAGGGCCCTTGATTGCACGACAAATCAGATTGGATCCGGGGAGCGGATTTAAAGGTCTGTCCATTGGCCCGTCCAACGGGATCTCACCTGGGTATTGGATGCGTCACGTGATCTGGATGACAGGTAGATTGGTTGGCTCTCGGTGGCCCATCAGATAGTTGTAGTCCCCACATATGATTGGTGACTAGCAAGCATGTCCGTAACATTTTGATGCTTCTAGTTGTGGTTAAGTGCATATGCCAAGATGCCGAGCGTTTCAAGGAGGACAGTGCTATCCAATGATATTCCTGCCGTTGTATAACCTGAAGGGGTCAGTGCAGTGGTCGCGCGACTTGGGTGATTCTCACCCTGATTCTCACCCTGTCTATAGCGCACTCACCCTTGTCACCCCCGGTCGCGCGACCGTAAAGCGGCGCTCACCCATTTCTCACCCGGGCGACACCCACCGAGCTACTGGCCGCGTTTAAGCCACACGCCGGTGAGTTAGTAGTTGGGTGGGTGACCACCAGCGAATCCTCACTGTTGTATGTTCTTTTGAATTTTTCCTTTTTGAAAGGTCAAAAACCAGACGGGCGGCTGGCTTACCGGAGCAATTTTCTACTACAATTAGAGGATGTGACTGCTATAGCTTGTCCCCTAAGCTTTTTTAGCCTAACAATATGATGGATGCAACAGCGTTTGGCATTGTTTGTTTATCTATTTTTGTCACGCCTTTCTAGCTATAGATAGAGAGTGCTCCGAAATCAGTCTAACTTTACGGCTACTACACCGAGGGTAGCTACAAAGAGTTAGGAAATTGCGTTAAACTCTGATCATGTCCTGGCAATCAAGGAATATATTTAGAAAAGGGACAAAAAGTGCCAAGGTGGAGTTTAGCTGGGCTTATGATTCGACAAGGACGAAGGCTATGCAGGCAACCTTTACTATCAAGACAGCGTGCGCAAATCTAGCGGGGAATTAGGAACGACATGTCATAAGGAGGGGAGAGATATTTGCATCAAGGGTCTGGCTCACTGTGCCTAGAACAGAACGGAGATGGGTACGTGTGAAGCTGTAAAAGCTTAGAGTGCCTTATGCAAGTGGCCCACTTAGGGCGGGTCTATCTGAAGTATAGCACAACTATAGCAGCAAGGTTTAAGAACAACGTCGCCATTTGATCTTACTTGCTCTTTTGTGGGCCCTTTGCAACATGCGCTATGGTTGTTCTTTTTTCTGGCAGAAGGGTGATAAAGCTCGATCTGCAAAGCCTGTTCATCAACATCTTCGCAGCAACAAAATTATCTTCCTATGTCATTTGTCTTATTTGAACTTAAAGAATGTTTCAATACACCCACCAAGTGGTGGATTCGCAAATTAAACCTGACATAGAAAAACATCTGTACAAGCGTAAGGAAAGTAAAGATTAAAGACCTAAATTTCCCCTCGCATATGACAACGATGTCTTCTCTGTTACACATGAAACATGCGGTGCGCCCGCGGGGGAAGGGGGGAGGTCAAGCGTTCCTCGACGTAATACCACGCTGCATTCAAGTGTGCAGCACTACATTCTATCACTTGCTGTGTTACTTTGATAAAGCAAGTCGGAAAGATATACCACTTTAGAGATACACCACTTTAGAAGGCTATAAAATTGATTGACGGTTCCCAGGATAGTGAACATCAAAAAACGGTTGCATCTACTAAGTTGGTGAGTGTTCAGG